ACTTTCAATGTAAGTGACATTTCCATTTGGAAATGCCCTAAATAACTACAGTAATTGTAACAGGAAACTTGGTAACTACCCTGGGATATTTGTAGTGGACGCTTCATTTTTATACCAATAGGTGGCAGTGTGAGACCATGGTTTGGCCTGTTGTTAGCAGCCTGAAGCGCATGCTCCGCGCTGTTTTCTCATAATGGCGGAGTATTCAGGAAACGGCAAGCCACGTCTCCCTGTCTGATCATTTCTTTCCTGTTTACAGGTTCGTATCGTGCCCGAAATAGAATATAATAGCAATCACATCCATTATATAGCATAGACTAACCATTACGGTTGGAAAGTGAAAGCGTACAACATTGTGTAGTACAGTAAATTACACTTTTGTAAGTATTTGTTTACGGCTTTAGCAGCATGCTAAGGTTAGCATGTTAGTTTGGGTCGCACACCTCCTATGCTCTGTGATGTTAGTGATCGGCTCCACCGTTATCCTGTATTGTTTAGTATCTTGTTTCTGCCATAAAGTGTTTCCGTGAATTCAGTGCACATGTCAAGATGGTGCTGATTATACCATTCTTTCAAGCTATTTGAGATTTATAGATTTGTCTTGTTGGAATTCATTTTGAACCAAGTCTTACAAGAAAATTGGTCATGTTTATAACATTGGAATGTGTTATGGAGAATGTGTGTGTGAGCTATGTTAAGAATAAGTAAATACACAGTTGTAATACTGTAAAAGTAATGAAAGGAGTGCATAATTGTGAATTTGAATAAATAATGGCGGAGTATTCAGGAAACGGCAAGCCACGTCTCCCTGTCTGATCATTTCTTTCCTGTTTACAGGACACATATATAGCTGTCTACAGGTGCTGCCACCCGGTACCTGTAACACATGTCAGTGCTGTGATTTTATCTAATGAGCAGTGTTGATTGTAAAGTCTGACTGCAGCAGGAAGGAAGGACCTGTGATGTCTTCACCTGAGTCTCCTGAGCAGATGTAGTCTGTGATCTATTCTTTCTTGAATAGATCAGAGAACATTCAGGAACCTAAAGGAATTTATCATTTCAATCTCTTCTCTTCTCCGATCCAGCAGAGAAGCTTTGCACCTCTGAAGTCTAACGTCTGTTTTTGTTTTTGTTTGTTTGTTTGATCTGGAGGATTTTGGGGTATGAACGGCTGGGTCACTACAAAGCATCTTAGTCTGATTTAAGTATGGATCATGACTAGGACCCTGCAAAATGTTCATGGACATTCTTCTTCAGGATTTTCTGGTAGAAAGCAGAACTCATCGTTCCATCAATTACAGCAAGTCATTAAGCAGCAAAGCAACACCAGACCGTCACAATACCACACTACTATATTTGACTGGGAATGTAGTAAGACACAAACCTTCTAAATATTTGAACTTTTGTCTCGTAAGTCCACAGAATATTGTCCCAAGAATCTTAGGGATGATGATCAAGATGTTTTTGGCAAATGTGAGATGAGCCTTTGTGACCTTTTTGGTTTCTCATCTCTTCTTGAGTTTCTTTAGATTCTGACATAACATGTTGCTTTTTGAGGTCTTTAAGCCTACTTCACTTTGTCACACATGTTATATTTGGATATATTATATTTGGACATGTTATATTTCTTGATTTAACAGATCTGGCAGTGATCAGGCCTGGATGTGGCTCATAAAATTAAACTCAGCTTTACATGATACATTTTAGGGCTGCCACGATTAGTCGACTAGTCACGATTACGTCGACTATCAAAATCGTCGACGACTGATTTAATAGTCGACGCGTCATTTGAAGCTTTGTAAGATCCCAAAAGCAGGAATAAGTAGCAGGATTTAAGAGTGTAATAACGGACTGAAACAGAAGATGGCAGCACTGCATGTACAAGGATGCCAGCTGCCGTTAAACCCCGAAGAAGAAGAAACTGTGTCCCAGAATTCATAGCGCGGCCCAGCGCAGTTGTCAACAATGGCGGCAGCTAGTTAGTTTTAATATTACTCTTATTATTCTTTCTGGGTCACAAAATAAACGTTTAACATATTTTCAGGCGAGAATGTAGCTGTGTAAACCTCAAATATCTGCTCAGTTTATCAAGACACCACATATTTTCAAAAGCGCTCCGACGTTTTCGGAGGCGTCTGTTACCCGCTAGCTCGATAGCTAGCCGGGGGCCATGAGAGCACCGGACTCCCGGCAGATCGTTTTCAAACCCACCGCCCTACTCAGGTTAAACATATACAAGTCACTTAGATAACTTAAAAATGTTATTGTTTGGCTTTTTTCAGTATTTTATTTGTTCCTGAGTAAATCGGCTGAGTTTATTAAACTCCACCGAAACAATCTGCACATTTAATTAGAATTCAATTAACTATCATCTTGTCTTTATTTTTAGTTAGCACAGACCTTAAACACTTAAAGCTGTAAGCTAATGATAGTTATATAAGAGCAGATGCTGCTGGTGCAATAAGCTGTACTTCTACGTTCAATGGATGATGATCTGATTAGTCGACTAATCGCAAAAATAATCGGTGACTAGTCGACTATCAAAATAATCGTTTGTGGCAGCCCTAATACATTTAATTACTTTTTCACATAGGGTTGGATAAGTTTGATTGCATAAGAGGGGTTGGATAGCCCCCTTCTCCTAATAAATTAAATCATCATTTTAAAACTGAATTTTGTATTTACCTGAGATGTCCTTCTTAAGTTTTGAAATTACTTTAATTTTAAATTACCTGAAACATTTAAGTCTGACAAATATGCAGAAAACCAAGAAATCATGAAGGGGCAAATACCTTTTTGCAGCACTGTATGTCTTAGCCTGGAGCTTTAACCATTACAAACATCCTCCAATCGAAATGTCTTCATTTTCCAAAAACTTTATCAAGATCTGAAAGAAGTACTGCTACTTACTGGTTTAAATAAAGTGATATATCTGTAGTGGGCAGTCTGGCTAACACCAACACAATCTCCATGGATACCATGCCCATCTGTGTGACACCTGCTGCATCAGAATTTGCAGCTGTGGCAGTCAGACTAAAAAGGAAATCAGTGTTTGTCTTCTAGTGTAATATTGGTTTTAAGTTACTCAAAATGATGAATGATCAAAGTCTTAAGCTTGAAAAGTCATTTTTGTGGAGGCGATTTTTTCCATATTTGCTCAGCCCAGGTCTTACATAATGCTCTTTCTGCTCTGTTAAATTTGTAGTGAACCACGAAAACCTAAAAATATTCTAACCATTATTGTACTTCACACAGAGGTCAGATTTCCCCTGAGGTAGAAATCAAGCATGGTCAAACAAGAATAAAGCCTGCACAAGTAAGTGCGAGTTTTATGCTTTAGTAGGTCAAACACACTGTCTGGGTGTCTGTACCGTAAGTCTTACATAAAAAGTAGATCACCTGGAAAATGTCCAAAACTCGTCGTGAGACCCTGGAGGATGGGATGAAGAAGAGATTCTCATGCGTCACAAATGGACTTGTTAAAGACATGGTGGATTACCAGGTCAGAGGTCAAAGTGAGAGAACACTTGACCACTTTAATCGGTACCTAGTACAGACAGACTGTACTAGGTCTGTACTAGGACCTTAGTACTAACAGATTGGACCCCCTTATGTCTTCAGAACAGCCTTAATTCAACAAGGTGCTGAAAACATTCATCACAGGTTTTGGTCCAAAGTCACATGATAGCATCACACAAATGCTGCAGATGATGCAGATCTCCTGTTACACCACATCCTAAAGGTGCTCTGTTGGATTGACATCTAGTGACTGTGAACTCGTTGACATGTTAAGGTATGGAGCAGTAAGGTCAAACGCGCTGTTTCTGTGGCCGTACAGTCAGAATCAGAATCAGAATCAGAATACTTTATTGATCCCTGGGGGAAATTATTTTTTGTTACATAACAATACTCAAGAGGCTGGTTTATTTGAACAATCAGTTGGGATCCAAAGTATCCCTCACCATTAAAAGAACACCACCACCAACAGCCTTAATAGCTGCTTGAAGGCGAAATGATTCCATTAATCCATGCTTTCATCTTCACTGTCATTTTTCCAATCTTCTTCAATTTTGGTCTGTCTATACTGTAGCCTCAGTTTCCTGTTCCCAGCTAACAGGAGTGGAACTCGGTGTTGTCCTCTGCTGCCATGGTTGTAATACGTTGGCTGCAATGAGTTAGTTGCTGTGCTTTGTATCAGTTTGAAGTATCTGCCCATTCTCCTCTGGCCTCTGACATCAACAAGGCATTTTTACACAGAGAACTGAATATTTTACAGTGTCTGTAAATCCAAGAGAAAGTTTCTGTGCAGTTTTTCAGTTCTGGGTGTTACAGAATGTTTATGTTATGAAAGTGTGACGTCCACAACATCACTAAAATACTCCTTAGCTCTAACTAGGACAATATATGGCAGTCATGGCAGACAGGAACGCTTCAGGACACCTTTGAAGTATCATTCGCCTCTTTAATTCCTGTTTTAACATGCAGATAACCTGCAAAATCATTTTTAACCAATGCAAACTGCACTTAATGTGTGATCGATACACAAACTGATACAGACATTCTCTGCTTGTATCATACGATTTGGCAAGAGAGGAAGACAGGAAAGCTGGGGACAGTGCACAGGACAAGACACGCAGTAAATGGCCTCAGGAAAGCTTCAAACCCAGGACTGTGCATCAGCCCTGTAGCTTATGGGTTGCCTGTTAAACCCAGTGAGCTAAACCATTTTTATGTAAATGTCAGTGACAAGAAAATCTTGCTTTAAAATATGAACCATTTTTATTTCTACTTAAAGGAAATCAAGACAGCTCTGTGACTGTAGAGTCCACCTTTAAAAACAGTCAATACTGTGAAGCTCAATAGGAAAAGAATAGTATTTTCCAAGTGTATAACTCATGCTAACCCTAATATCAATTAAATAACAGTTATAAATAATAATATAGTAACAAAGAGCTGTGCAAAAGAGTTTTTAGTGTTTTAACCTCAAACTCAAATAAGTTCAGTATCATTCATGATAAATAGCTGTATCTGCTGTAGCACTGCTGAATTTAACATCCACTGTGGTAACCACTGTTTATATGAAATGTACGTGCGTACGTTTGCATGATGGAAGTTATTTATGTTTTACCTACAGTTAGTTTTTATTATTCGATCACACTAGTTCCATTGCAGTGATTAGTGCTGGTTTGGCAAGTAGATAATAGTGAACTACACCCAGAGGGTCTATCCTGCTCCATCTTGTTGACAAGATAAACACTCTCCATTGTCTGCAGGCTGGCAGTTATGAGCTAAGCTCTTTATCGGTTTTACTCCAGCTACAAGTTATTGACACGGTCTAATCATCTTGACACACATCTAGGGAAGTTTGTATACAGCTCTTGTAAACAGTATCTTGTTTTAAACATACAAAATTTAATTTTAACGTTACCCTTCTCCTCTCCACCGGCCCTTAGCTTTACGCTTTCCCTGTAGGACTGAGAAAGATTACAGCTGAAATATGGCATTCCTCATGAATCAAATGTTAGGTGACAAGTTGAAGAGTTTTACCGGAGGAGGCGGTGAAGGTAACGGTAAAGCAGGAGCAGAAGGAAAGGAAACAGCAGAGTCCAAAGGCATGTCCAGAGAGGAGTTTGAGGAGTACCAGAAGCAGATGGTGGAAGAAAAGTGAGTAAACCTTTGCAGCATTGGATGAAACACTGAAAAACAGTGCCTTAAAATAATGTTAACAACAGCTAAACTGGATAGCATGTTTACAACTATTCAGCAATATGTTTTTTGCACTGAGGTCACAAACTAGTGGTTAACATTTTTAAATGACAATCTAAGTTTGATGTAAGTGTGAATACTTGTGTGTTATTGTGTGCTTGGACTGGCCGTTTGTCCACAGCATACCCCACCGCTCATCTAATGCCAGCTGGGATTAAAATTTATGTAAATGTTTAAATGTTTAACAGTGTGTAATTTTTTTTTTTAAAAAGGGAAAGATAAAACTCATGTTAAGCGCGGGCTGTATTACTCATCGGCAGGATTAGTAATACCAGGCTATCGCGTCATGTTTGTTCCAGAGCTGCAGATAAAAGCATATAGCACCGATAAAAAGTGCCTCTCTTAATCTCAAAACCCACTCATGAATTACTATTACATTGTGGACCATAGTAGCAACATTTAGAAAGAAAGAGGTTCGTTTTCATTCCCTGTCAATACAAGCTGTATTCTACATTTCAGACATTTGTATGCTGACCAGATCCCAAAAAACTAAATGTGGAGCAAAACACTGTGTTTGTGTGGGACAGTGTGGGACAGGTTAGCATTGGTGGGAGGTGGTCTGAAGTTTTCATATGCAAAAAATACCAACACAAGAATCGCTGTAGGTTACCAAATTTGCATTTAGCATGTAAAGTCCAATGTATTTCTAAGTACAAACGGCCACTTAATTTTCTTTGTACTAGCTTCCATCATATTCACCCAAATCTGCAAAACGTGTTACTTTTTGGTGATGCCTACCTTATGGGGAGAGCATTAGACAAGCTAACTTCCACTTAAATGTAATAATCCCTGCTCTCTTTACATGCACTGGGCATAAGCCAGACTTTAGGGCTACTTTGCCCTTTAGTATGAGCTGCATGATCTTAAGATTCATTTTGGAGTCAGCTTCTGCCATTATGAGAAAATACTGTCAGTCAACATTCTCAAACTGTATTGTTTTCTATAGTGTGTGGGTGTGTATGGACTCTGGAGTCTTACTTGTGTGACCACATATGTGACATCAGCGGATGTGAGACAGGCTTATAGTTTAGCTTTAGGTACGGTTTATTCCCTTGAGGCTCAAATTAGCCAGTGAAGGAGATTAAGCTCTGTGTGTAATAACACGGTTTGGTTTCAGGAAGCCACCATTAAACATGTCTGTTAAGCCAGTGCGTTTTAAAACAATAATTATTTAATCACCTTAAAATCTGAAGGGATGCTACAATGTAAGCTAATTTCAACTAAGTGAAAAAAGAAGGTCTTAGGGCAGACTGTATAACAGATTGCAGTAATTTTTGATTTATTATTTACTTATTCAAGTGGAAAATGGCAGTTTAGTCTTAATCAGGCAAGTATGGTGGTCAAAAATACAGGTTACTGTTAATTTAATAAAGGTATGTTCAGCAAGAAAAAAAAAGACATTTTTGTGATTTTCTTTTTTATTATTGTTAATTTTTAAATGTTTGTTTATTTAATTATTTTTAAGTGGCAAATGATGTTTAACGGGAAAAGGAATAGTAGTTCATTTAATTAGGGTAAGTTCACTAATTTCATTTATTTTGTGGTATTTTTTTATTGTGATTTTTTTAAAGTAGATTTTTGTCTTTATTTAAATGTTCATGAATTTTTTTGAAGTTCACCAGTTTGGTTTTTTTTGTAACTTTTTTCTTTAAAGATTATTCGAGCTATATTCTACAACAGGAAGTTGATGGACAACACTGAATAATAATGTTAGTAGAAGTGATTAAAAAATTGGTCTGCATCTTTGATTTTTTTAGAATTAGTAAAAACAAAAAAACAAAAAAACAACAATTAACCTAACTAAGCTATTCAGGATAAGCTAAAAATTTTCTTTTTTGAGTTACTGTAATTCTATTTGAGGATGAACTGCATTTAACCCCTGTGTGGCCCTGGGACCATAAATGGTCCCAGGGCCACACAGGGGTTAAGTAGCTAAATGCCAATATCGCCTTTGTGTATAAATGGCACAGCAATGGGAGTGAATGAGGTGAAGGAGTGCAGCCCTGGCCAAAACATCAAGTAACCCCGGATTTGGGCCAACTGCTAGCTTTCCATGTAGCTAATCTTATTATTAAGCAGGGCATTACTGCAGCTACAGTTACAGAAGTGGGCTAATAGCACAAATTACGGTTCTCTGGTCCTGTTCTGCTGCATAAATGTTGGACAAGTGGTGGTTGCCAGGCGACGATATGTCATTATAATATATTAAATATATTGTTTTTTGTACACAAATTAGATGTTATGGTCATTAAATGAAAATTATATGTTGCATTATTTGTCCATATAATGGGTCCCATTAGCCTGTTGATAAGTGGTAGCTTGGCAAATGATTTCAGGGGGCCTGAGATGTACCTCTACTCCAAGTCTGGTCCCTCAACTTCTGATCACATAGGAAGAGTTTGTGGACAAACAGACAGTCAGACAACTACATAATCCTCACAGATCCACACAAGGTCAAACACAATAGATGAAGGCAGGAAAACAAGATCCGTGCAGTGAGATTTGCTGATCAGCTTAACAAGATAATATTTCATACGACATTCTAATTGACGCAGCTGGCAGTCCTGGCATGTCTTCTTCTGCTAACAGTATGATGCGTTTGATAACATAATGATATGAAAGGAAATATTTACTTATATTAGATATATTTTAGGGATTCTGAACATTTTGGAAAATATGATAAATAAATAAATAAAAGCATATGATCATACATTAAATGTATGGTAAAAATAAACACAATTACATTCCAGTGATTGATTTACTGTTTCTTTTTCCTTTAACTCACAGTCACTATGTGGCAGGGTTGGCCTTGTAACTTGTTCCATTTACTGGCTTACATAAAGTGCATGCATTTTGCAGGATTCAGCGTGACAAGGACTTTGCAACCAAGAAGGCTGAGAGGGCAAATCTCCGAGTGGCTTTAAGAGATAAATATCGACTTCCAGATGTAAGAAACTATATCTTTAGTTGCATTAACCTTTACATATATCAGTTTATTGTGCCATTTTTCCAAGTGTATCTCATTTACCAATGTTATTTTACTTTTATTATTATTTACTATATTGATCTATTAATTATATTTATTATTTTCATCACTGTATTACTGTTACTGATTTTCATTAAATCATTTGTATTACTTCTCCGAGCATTTTATGTGTGTGCAGCAGTTTAATGTCTGTACTATTGTGCTTAAATGTTCTATATAAATATGTTTACTCGAGTTGTATCAACTTAATTTTAACTTAGGTAAGTTTACTCTATGACTAGTACTGCATGATTTCTGGCACAACCCTTTTAGAATTACTTTACTTACATAATTACTTTCTTTAAATGGTAAAAATCCATTATTTTTACACATTAATGCAGTTGCTATTGAACCATACCAGTGCATTTGTATAGTTATTGTGAAACATTTCATATTTTCATCAGATTTAAGTAAATAATGTTTCCACATGAAGGTGAACACAATTTTTTCAACAGGGATTTGGGGAAAGGATACTTTTTAACACAGTTAATTATACTTATATTCAAAATAAAATGTGTATTTTACTTATTTATTGTGTAAGTACTGTAAAGTAAGTTATTTTAGAAAAAGCATGCAATTAATTGCATGTATTTGCTATTAATACTAGGAAAAAGACTTGTTTTTGGGTTACTAGCAAAGCTGACTGAGACTCATAAACTTTTGTAGATGTTACTAGTAACACCTGATTCATTAATATGATGCATTTCTGCCCAGCCATAATCATTCAGTCTCTTAAACAGCTCTAAAGTGCATTTCCATGGTAACTTATTAAATCTTTGGGTTTTAACATCATTCTGAACTTACTGCATTACAATTTTGTGACTTTTGTCACAGAGCACTCAAGACACGGCATTAGTGGAGATGGCTGGGGATGACATTGATGTGCCAGAAGAGCTTGCAAAAATGGTGGATGAGGATGAGGAGGAAGAGGAGGCCAATGACTCTTTCCTCAATAGACTTCAAAACCTGGACATGGACACACTGAAAACCAAGGCCCAGGCAACAATGTCGGAGATGAAGCAGAATGCAGAGGAGAAATGTACCCTCATGTGATAACTACTTGTCTAAAACTCAAAGTATAAAATATACAGTGCTCGCATTGTACCCAGGCCTTCACACATTACTTTTCACCTGAACTGCAATATTTGAAATTAAGTGTCTATTTCACAGATAACTGCTTTTATTTTTCAGTCTTCATACTCAGACTACAGGTTAAAGTGCTTTGTTTATGGAGCGCTTCTCTACATACAGGTGCTTCGTGAAATGATCCGGCCATCTTCACTTCACTTTTGCTACTTATACACACAGTATGACACTCAGTACGGTCATTTGTATTATATTTAATAATTTAAATATCTCTTCATCTGTCTCTGTAAAAAATTCAATAAAGATTTAAGGGTTCTTATTTCTTATGTTTGTGATATTCATTCAAAAACTGTCTTTAAAGAGGTTAAATTCCCATTAAGGTTAAAGCATTAAGTTCCTAATCTGGCTGAGTGGACGAGAGAGAAACTCTGGTTATTATGACAAACTAAAAGATTAAAAGATAAAGTACCTGAACGCCCCAAATATTGTTTTCTTTCAACTAACGTCTATCTGCATCATTTTCGCAAATACATTTATCTCGGATGAGATTTACTGCATATTTGGAACTTTATTTGACAGGAATTTGGATTTGCTTTTATCTACAGAAGACATTTTAGGTCACAGAGTATAATCTAGGATTATGGGCCATAGGATTAATCTAGGACCCATATAGCTTGTTATCTCTTCTATTAATTGACAATCATCCCATTATGTTTTTTTGTTGCTGAATACATTAAAATGTAGTTTTTAATACCTCTGTAGACATCGGAGGTATCCTTAAGAGATATTTGAAATTTGTTTTTAAATCATTTCATTTGGACAGTGACTGGTTTCAGTTTCAAGTCTTTAGACGTAAAAAGATCACTTTTTGTACAGACTTTTAATAATAAGCACAAAGTGCACATTTACAACCGAACACCATGTGACAGATTAGACTTTTCTTCACATTTGAACATGAGCTGATCACATCTCCCAGCATTTAACCCTCCCTTTCCATTATGCCTGTCATCCCCCTGCTGTTCACCATCCCCCTTTCCCCCTGTAAGCTGACACAGCGCCTTTAAACATTAGCTGCTTTCTTCCTAATGGGATCTCAGGGACTTAAACTGTCATCTGATAAAACTAAGGCGCTTGATAGCTGCGCTGCACCCTCTTAACCAATTTGTACTCAATTAGGATAATGGGGAAACAAGCAAAGAGGGACAGCTTTAATATATTAATATTAATGTGATAAAATGATTATCAGTTTCCCTTGCTTATGACCTGGCTACTATTAGGAGCGTCCAGCAGGTGTCATATAAATACGATCTGTTATTAAAGTAGTCCAAACATTAAAGGACTTTACAAATGATTTATAATTTATAAGTAGATACCTGCCAAAAATGACAAAAACAGTATAAGAGTCTGAGTTATCAAACGAAACAATTCAGTATGGACTAAAATCCGACTTTACATACACACATTTTACATACATGCTTTAGTTTACTGAAACTGAGCCATAATTAATTCTACAAATATGCCTTCACAGATATCACATGTCAACATGATGACCTACTGTAACAGGGATTAACTGCAGCGATGGTGCAAGCTTTTCCGAAGATGACCTTTTATATTTGGAACCAAGTAAATAAAGTTTCTTTATACAACAGAAATTCATTCCAATTTCTTTAAATGGCAATTATTGTTTTTGTGGAGGCGTTTTACTTTCAACATGCAAATATGTGAGATTTTGCAAATAAATGCCTGTCAGAGTCACAGCTAACATTGTTTAGGGGTGAATTCTAATTCTAATGAATTAGGAAAAATAATAACTTTAGCAGGTTTTTACTTGCTATTCGTTTTTTTCCCCCCCTGACATATTGAAAGTTAGAGAAAGGTGACGCTGCACAACACCTTACAGGGTTGGCTTCCTTCATAGTAAACATATGGTGGCTACCTACTTACCAGCAAATCTCTGCCAGGGGGGCATCTTTAACTTCTTTATTTATTCACAGGCAAAAGTAATAGGCTTTTCAGTCTCTCCTTTATTGGAAAACAACTTTGACAACCCAGAAAAGGTGGTCAGCCAAAACCACTTAACCTATAGCCATTCAGCTAATAGATCGAACTGACAATGTAGCTTGGTGGCTCAAGTGAGGCCAGATGGCTTTAAACTAGCTAGATTAGCTTTAGGTTTCCATGGATTCTTAACCTTCTCACTGACTCCTAGAAGATGGTTTATTCCCTGCTGCTCCTTTATTGTGTGCCAAAGGGCTAATAATAAAAAAACCAAAAAACCCCCAAATAGGATCAACATTTACTACCCAGCAGATTGCTGGACTTATGCAGTTACATTAACTGTTATTAATTATGCAAACATGTAAAATTGAAAACTTCGCGAAAACTATCTATCTAAAAAAAAAACACTTTACGTCAGAATTGACAGCAAGACTCTCAGTAAACCTCTTTGAAGGCAATTTGTATTTTTTAAAAGAAAAGTTCTGGATTTTGTTTGGCATGCCAAGAACGCCTAAATATATCTTAAGGTAGGTGGGGTGAGGTCAGTGGAAATCTCCAGTCAAGTCTTTAGGCTAATTAAGGATGGGGTTGATCTCTGCAACACCTACTGTAGCATCTACGGCTTTGGCTGTGCCAGCTGGCACGGGTGAATCTTGCAGGCTGCAGAATGAAATACCCAGTGCCACCAATCCAAATCCACTGTGTACTATCAGAAGCAGATCAGCAAGATTATGTGTCGATTATGTGTTGATTTGAGAAATGCAAACATGGTACTGAAGAAAACCTTTTAGTTAAAAAAGTTAAAGGAGTGAAATGGATTATGTTGAAAAATTGACTGCTCAAGCATGAATTACTTAATTATTTGTCAAGTGGGGTGCGACCCCTTACTTAGATCACTATTTTTTGCCTTTTTGGCTTTAAAAAAAAAAAAAAGTATCATTAGACAGTGAAAAGTTATTGCAATGATTATAGTATACATGTATATTTGAACCCAATATATCAGTGTGTATTCCACTTTGAAAAATGTAATGTGATTAAATCCATTTTAATTTATCAAACCTGGTAAAATGAGTAGTGTGAGGATTAAAATCTTTCACTTGCTTGAATGAAACATTATTTTACGTGTTTACAGTGTGCAGCCATTTAAGTGAAGTCTATCTGTGTGTCTTTCCTCTCTTATATTGTCTATAATGAAGGGATTAGTAGGGGGGAAAACTCTCAGTACAAGCCATTATCTTTCAGACAATAGATTTTTTGAAAGAAAGTTTTGTTGAGCCTTCATTAGCAATGGCCTCCCTCTGTGGTCTGAATGCAGGACACATTTGGAGCAATTACTTGACCAGAAAACAACTGTCAGTCATTCTTAAAGGGGAAGGATTCCAATTAATAAACCTCTTAAACTCTTTGATTTTACTAGCATTCAACCTCCAGCTTTGGTGTCTTGTGCGGTTAAGGAGGAGTTTTGTTGGGGGAGACATGTTGCATGTTCTTTCTGCACAGAACTTCAGCAGTAGGTCATTTGCTCAGTTGTTTGCAGGGGATTTCAAGGACTTAACAGGGAGTAACAAATGCCTACGGTAGATATTGTTAGAGTCAGTTGTCTACTTACGGACTGCAGAGACGTCATGTGCGCAGCCTAGCCTGTGGAAGGAGAACGAAGGAAGGTAAGATTACTTTATGTACTTTCTCGCTATGCATTCGCTCAAATATGTTGATAAACACTTTCTATAAAGCTGATTTATATTTAGGCATGAGATGAGTTAAATTCACTCTTTTGTGCCCTGAAGGCAATCACAAAATGTATCCAGCTAAATTCTTAACCATGCTGATTGCCTTCCTATTTGACAAACTTGAATCGCATTACAATAGAAATGGGAATCAGTGTAAACTCAGGATCAGCTCAATTTAAAAAAAAAAAGAAGAAAATTTTACTCACTCAAATTGTTTAATTATGTAAAATAGTTTTTACTAATTCATAATTCTTCCAACTTTTACCAGAAGCTAATATTCCCAATAGGGACTCCTACTCTCATTTTAAACTAAAGGATCACGATGAGCAAACTGGGGCTCCCGTAAAGTCCATCAAGACTAATAACAAACCGTTAAATTACCTTCAAGTGCAGAACTTTACATTTTTGTCTTTTTTTTCTTTCCTTTTATTTCTTTTGCAGACAGATATGTGAATTGGCTTTGCTCTTGTGGAAACGGCCTGCACACTCCACAAAATTCTGCTCTGCTGCTCTATGTGAAGCAGAACAACAGGTGCTCTGCCTCGTCTCACTTGGTAGTCTTTTGCTTTTCTCTGACAAGGAAAAAGAGACAGTGTCTCCGAAGGTTCGAATGCATTTGTCAATGGATACCCTGGGAATAGTGGATGATAGTTGCCTAGACAACTATGACATGGCAAAAGGTGCTGGGTCAAGTGCCGGAGGCAGGGTTCACAGTATCGATGTCATACTGGGATTCACTAAAGACCAGGACCCTTTACTCCATTCAGCAGAAAGTGATGAAAGCCAGAAAGCAAATGAAGCAAACCCTCAGGATCCTGAAAAGATGGTCCCATCGGACCACTACGCTCACCTACCAGACCTCGGAGACAGCTCCCAAAATTCTTCCTACCATGGTGAGTCTTTTAATAAAAGGCATAAAAACCAGGAAGTTTTTTCCTCTCAGTTTAAATCATTGAGGGGATTTTCTTGTTAACCGACTAAAGAGTGGAATTAAACCTGTACTAAGGTTGTTAAGATCTTGTACATCCAGTTTAAACATAGTACACACATTTCTGTATCAGTGCTCAGGCGCTTTAAGCCATCATGTTAATTGAGTTGCTTTTCTGAAACAACTTGTTTAAATACACTAGTTTTGCACCTCATGCAAAGCTATTTAACAATAAGATGCAATTAGTTCTGGCAAGTGGTAAAGTAACTGACAAACTTACTGTACTGTAATATTTAAGTTTGTGTACATGCTAAGGACAAAAAATAAGCATTACTCCAAACTTTACAGCCCATCAAATTCAAAAGTTAGCCCAAGTGTTTAAATAACTTCAAGCACCCAAATTAAACTGCTCACTACTGAGTTTCATCAGCAAAAATTATACATAGATGAATAGATGGTGTGGTTTAATTTTATCTATATCTTTTGACTAACGCTCTTTTATACAAAATGAAGATGTGAAATACATTTAGTGTCTTTTACATAATTTTACTTTACTTTCACTTCGGCACTTAAACAAGAAAGAAAGCTATCTTACTCTCTTCATACTTGTTAGCTGCAGGTGTAGCTACTAACACAAAAACTGATTACATATTATTATGTTTTACTTGTAAAGTAACTGGTACATCTCACTGGAAAGCAGACCATCCAGTTTGCCATATTTCTTCCTTTACCTTCTGAGGATGAAAGTAGTGCCTGTCGATACAAGCAAGGCAGGTGGGACCAGTTTGAAATTAACTAAAATTGAGTGTAATAAGTATTTAAGAATAAAGTTAATTGTCCTGCATATATCATAACCAGAATTACAAAGCGCTGTAGAACAACTAGATAGAAAAACAATTAAAAACACAGTTTATGTGTATGAATAAACAGTTTACACAGACAGGAAAAATAATAAATACAACTAAAACAAAAAGACTAATATAAAACAAAGGATAAGCCCCAAAATATATTGTATTTTCTTCACTTGTATAACACTTTTTAGAACACATCGATGCAAACCAACCAATTCTAAAATTGAAAAACAATTAAGTTTAACTGGATGTTTTAACCTCTTAAGCCCCAAGCCTAACTGATCTCCTGCCTTTTGCCCCCGTATCAGGGGGCGTTGGGGCTTAAGAGGTTAAAACTTGAGATGTACATGGCTCAGATCTCCAAGAATAAGAATTATTATTGTTATAGAGCACATCGTTCATCGTGGTTTTAGCACAGAAAAGAGCTTGATGTCATTTATCGGGACCAAAGATAAAGATTTAATTAGTTGTATCTGACAGTGACTTGACTGAAGAGGATTTGTGTCTCCCTGGTCTTTCCCAGGAGACAGAGCTGTTTATTTCATTAGCAGCGAGCTGAATGACAACAAAGGAAACGGTTGATATGTAGTATGGTTCCACTGGCTTTTATTGAGGGTTCCTTTATGACAACTCATTAGCTTAAAAAAACCTATGCGCTTTTATTGAGCTTACATGCTATATGCTACAGATATGTCATGCTACATTGCTATATGTTTTTAATTTTTGGGAAAACGACAAATTTCTTCTGCCTTGCACACTTTAAAGAGTTAAAACTGTGTGTGATTATAGACACCTCCATATTTACAGTGGCCATGCTTCAGTGTGACTGTTTGCTGGACAACAATACATATTTCATACACATTTTGTGGACAAGGGTTGAATTCTGGACTGTAAAAGATGACACACACAAAAATCCTGTATATGAAGGATGAAATAAAGCATGGTCGAATATACATTTCTGTGCAACTGCTATTTTATTACATATCTTTATCGTGAGTCTTTATCCCTGCAAGTTAAAAATATAATTCCAAAGCCAAACAGTAGTTCTGCACCAGCTTTGAAACTTGTACCTCAAAACTGTGTTTTAATATTTAATGTAGGGTTTACTATAATGTGCATTAAACACGAGTCCCTTTAAATAAGTTTTAAAGTTCGGCAGTTTAGGTTGATTTGACTGGACGCGACTTTAGAGAGGCAAGGCTGAGATGGTTTGGACATGTGCAGAGGAGTGATAGTGGATATACTATATATAAGGTTGTAGAGGATGAAGCTCCCAGGCAGGAGGAAAAGAGGACGACCACAGAGAAGATTCATTTATGCAGAGAAGGAGTAGGTGAAAATTGTGACAACAGAGGATGCTAGGGACAGGGTGAGGTGGAGGTGGAGGATCCCTAAAGGGAGCAGCCAAAAGAAGAAGAAAAGCAAGTTGGTTTGTTAAATTAAACATAAAAAAAGAAAACAACCTACATTGAAAGATTTGGAAGACTGTTCTTTGATTTGTATAAAAGCAGTCACTTTCTCCTCACGTGCACTTTTAGAACAAAGATACTTTTTATCCATGACCATATTGCGTGGAACGATTTGCTATGACTAATGAGCTTTGGTACATCACTCACATGACTCCCTTGCTCTACATCCATTTCTTAGAAAGCACAATCGGCACTACAACTGTTTACCTGGCTCGTGCAGAAGCCAGTTGTCAGGGACTTGCAGGTTTAACTGGTAGCATCTGTCACTATGGGATTACTGCAGGGAGGAATTCAGTGAAAGACATGATGTCATTTAGACCTAGCCCTAACCCACCCTAAGGTTCATAAGCCTTTAAAGGGCTTTGAAAAGAGTTTTCAATCATTGATTTGTTTTAACATGGAAGCTAATAAAAGATTTCACTTTCTTAGTTGGTGGTAGAATAATGCATAAAACATTTCCCCCAAAGTATTCACTTCTTATTAGAAAAATCTTACATATATCAGGTTTTCTCGGTTTCTGATGACTGAAATAACAAAGGGCAATTAGACCATTTATTATTGTTTGCCATAAAGTGGAAATATATAACAAATGTCGGACATTTAAGTAGTGTGCAATTTAAGCCGAAACATCAAAGCACTTTAAAACCTTAGTTTCACTGCTCGGTTGTGTCCTTTTGTTGTTGTTTTTTAGAATCTGACATTTTCTCTGGTGACAAATGTGAGGGAGAGATGAGCAACTTGCAAAAGGAGGCAGATGATGCTGAGGGATCACCAGAGACCACTAAAGATGAAGAGCACGCTAAAAAGAAACACAGAAGAAACCGCACCACTTTCACCACCTATCAGCTTCATGAGCTGGAGCGAGCCTTTGAGAAATCTCACTATCCAGATGTCTACAGCCGTGAAGAGCTGGCAATGAAAGTCAACTTGCCTGAGGTTCGAGTTCAGGTAAAGGCAATGTATATGAAGATATAAGCACATGTCATCCAGATATTCTCACAACCTAAATAACACCACATGGACTGATGGATAGTGTTTACCAATCTTCCAACAGAAATCCATGAAAGAAATGAATATTTACCAACCGTTTGTGTTTGGTGAAGGGTTAGAAAAAATCAAAAAAGTAATATGGAACCTGAGTGGGATGGTGTTGATATGGAAGATTATTTGTTCACCTTTTAACAAACATGCTTTTTCTTGGAGGATTCATTATTCAAAGCTAATGATCCGATGACCATATTGCCTGAAACTCTTTGGCATGATTAATGGGCTTTGGTACACCTGACTCCATTTCTTGGAAAGTCGAATCACTGTTTACCTGGCTCGTGCAGAACTCAGTTAAAGTCTCTGTTTAGATTAGAGAAGGCACAGACTTACAGGTTTAACTGGAAGCATCTGTTACTATGGGATTACTGCAAGGGAAAATTCAGTGAAAGGCATGATGTCATTTGCAAAAGGTGCAGCTATTGGTAGTAAAAAAATTTTTTATTTCATTCAGAATCAATTTTAAGGATTTACTTAGTTTTTTCACCATGCAATCATATGGCATTTAACTGTTAATGCCCTTTATGTTCACTATTGCCCAGAAAGCAATTGTCCACTTTTAGGTCAAATACTGTGCACACAGACACAGAAAAAAATATTGCACCAACTTGTGTTATTACTAGAAAAATACATTTGCAGCCTCCATAGTCTCCAAGATATATTTTATTAATATTTTAGTTCTTGCTAATGTAATTCAAGGCTTCCTTGTCCATGCATTTCATATCATTTTGTTCGGTTCAGGTGTGGTTCCAAAATCGAAGGGCAAAGTGGAGACGTCAAGAAAAGATGGACACCACAACCATGAAGCTCCAGGATTCCTCCATGCTATCCTTCAACCGTCCACCGATGACTCCAAACGTGGGGCCAGTAGCCAGTCCAATGCCGCTAGATCCCTGGCTGACCTCACCTATTTCCAGTGCCACACCCATGCATACCATTCCAGGTTTCATGGGTTCACCTCAGAGCCTGCAACCCACCTATCCAAGTCAAAGCTTCCTTAACGCCCCGCCAACGATGGTCCAGTGTATGCAGCCACATATGGGGCCACCTCCTTATCAGTGTCCTCCCAGCTTCAATGACAAATACCCAACGGAGGATGACAGGAGTTCAAGCATTGCAGCACTCAGGATGAAGGCCAAAGAGCACATTCAGTCAATGGATAAAACCTGGCAGCACATGTGATGTGAAGCAGACAGATTTGATTTAGCTGGTTCTCTATCACATCAAGACTATCTCTCCACTCTGTTACATATTCCATATGTAGGGGAAATGATTCCCCTTTGTCAGGGTGTGCGGATACTTCTTTAAGACACTCCGGCTTGCCCAGTCAGGCCCCACAGCTTGACTATAAAACAGCTGTGGAGATGTGAACGGAATGTGTCTCCGAGCCTAAAGGCTGGAGATATAGTCTCTCACTCAGAGATCCGAGGTTACAATGTAACCACATGTTCCGTTAATGTTTACAAACTCCCTTTAAAGCGTTTGACTCGTGTTCCAGTGACGCGGACACGTGATACCAAAGAATTTTTTTAAAATCTATTTTATGTCTAACAAACGTCTAACCATTTAAAAAAATCACTTTAAAATGTTTACCCTTGTTTTAACCCTACAAATACAATTAAATCCCTGCCAGGTTCTTGAACAGACTCTTGTTTAACTTTTGTAATCATTCATTTTGTAAACCTTTAGTGAATCTCTATTGAACTGAGATGAGAGATGACACATAGAGTCATGTTGGCAGAAGTAGCAATGTTTTTGTATTGTACTACAACTTGATGAAAAATTCATACTTGAGATTTTATAATTGAGTTGTGTTCTGACTGTTTTGTGGTGGTAAGATATTTTACAACACACACACTGTCACCGTTTATGGATGCATTATGTACAGGTATTAATGATATATGTTATTTCGATATAAGATTTCCGAGTTCCTATGAAGTAACTATGACCAATTAGTTGCCTGTTAAAGGGCTCCAGAGCTCCTCTGTTTTATTGTAAATTTAATTAGTTTGATGTTTTTCTTTCATTTGCTGCAAAGAAAGTGAAAATGTGCATTCAAAGCCAGTTTTCCACTAATATCAATTTTAGTCTTTATAGGGAATATGAGTGTTAATGGGCTTTTGAAGAGCACCGAGTTCTGATGGGGGGAGGTTATCGTAAGTCATGGAGCGTAATCTATCTTGGAGGCTAATCTAAACAGACATGCACACCTCTTAACACCTAATTACTGCTTTTAAAGCGATTAACCCCGGATTCTCAGCCATAGACAAAGTGCCCTCAAATGGCCCTGAAAACTCTTTTTCGAGCTCTGGTTTACATGGCCCCTGCTCTAAAACTGTGACAATTATAATATTAATTAATTGATACAGAAAATATATTTTTTTAATCATGATTTCATCTTCATGTTGATCCATTTTGTCTGCTCATTATTTGAATGTTGACTAAATATTCACTTAGGACCACAAATAAACAATCTTTTACTGGCTTGGCTCAGAGACATGTATGCATTAAGTCAATGCTGAAGGGTACTGGAAAAATGTTCCCTCTCAATTTTCCTTCTGCTTCTTATGGAATTTGCAAGGACTTCTAAATATGCTTAATTCTATATGTCAAAAGTACTGTATTAGCAATACATGTATAAGGGTAATACTAATAAGTAAGGTTATGAGGGAAGTATTCACAAATATTGTCTGTATATCCCATCCTTGAGAAACGGCACCATCAACAGTCAGTTTTACAGGCTTTGCTGCTCTTAGTGATCACCCTGATCATAAAACCAAAGAGAAAAAGAAGATTTCACAAACGTTTGAAGATGTTTGTTTTCTGTTTTCAATTATATTTCGAACCCCTTTATGTTTTTAGGCACGTGACTTTTATTTTCCAAATGCAAGACCCAGAATAAAGTTACAGAGCACAACTGTTGATTGTGGACCTTGTTTTTCTCTCCACGCATCCATTAGCCACCAACATGACTTTGTACTGTTAATGAGTGCTGGTGTACAATAGGCCATGTAAGATGTGACCGAGAGAGCTGGCCTGACGGAGGCCTGTTGTGCTCGTGCAGGCCTGTGGAACCTTGCCAGGCTGTTAGGCAGATGAAGCTCCACTCCATCAGGCCCAACCGGGGGTGTCAGGGGCCCTGCCTGCCAGGACGCTAAGGCCACAAGGGCTCAAGCTGTATTGAGCCCTTGTGGCCAGTAGCCTAGGTGGCTTAATTGCCCCGTTTATTTTGGGACCAATGATTGTATAAAGGGCTATTATGCATCCAAGTACTCTGCAACAATGCCTTTTAAACCTTTATTTAATCTGGATGAAAACTCTTGAGATTAAGAACCTCTTTGGCAAGAATGTCCTGGGCCTTCTGAAGAAATCTCACGCAAGCACACCAACAACATGCAGTCCATACAGCAGCGCCCTGCATGGGCTCAAACTTACACTTGCTCCACACTGATATGTCTTGTCTGATAGACATCATGAACTCCACAACCATTATTTTTAGGATATTTGCCATCAGAGATTGTCTGATTTTAGAAAAGCCTCTTATTAGAGGTGTTCAGGCTCAGTATAAGGAGTCAAAATTCTCTCTCTGCTTTGGTTTGCAGTTAGAGTGCAAATAAACGAATACCATTTACATGCCTTAGTAGTTAAGCACAATAAAGCAGTAGAATGACTTCAGATGAAAACTGTCTATGCTATATTTAGCCTTAACCAATTCTCACCACACCTTTGTCAGAAAGACTTAAAGCAGCAAATCCCAGAATATGTCCAAGACACACTCAGAAACAGCAATTCATTACACAAATTATTGTGTTATTTTGCTTGGCCAAGCATGACCTTCTCCGAGTCTCAGGCTCTAGTTAACAAGCTGGCTAGCGGGACGTGGTTCACGGTGGAAATAATGAGAGTAAGGAGCGGAAATAATTGGGTTTGATTAAGAACGTTTTTTAAAGGGACACCCTTTTCCTCTGCAGATCCCTTAGAGGATGAGGGGGCTTGAACACTGGCGCCAGTTGTTTGTCTTTGCTCCTGTCTTCACTTTGAAAATAAGTTTCTCAAACAGTGCTCCCTGCTTTGTCTCACAGACCTGCATGGCTGTATTTACAGTTTTCAGAATGATATTTTTCTTCTGAATAACCATTTTTAATAATGACAAAGAAAAATGAAATAACACTTCACCCTTTATCGAAATAAACGTTTTAAAGTCAAAAGTAATCACTAGTTTTTTTCTTATTTTAATTCTCTAATCGTATATATAAAAAAAAACGCATAGGAGACAAAAACATGACCAAAGTTTTGATTATTTATTTCATTTCAGAGATCAGTTTATTAAGTAAACATGTGGTTTAAGTCACCCACACTAACTACCCAGCTCAGAACACAAACATAAAATTGAAAAAGATGAAATTATTTTACACCACTAGGAGGAACTGTCAAGACTCCATCTATGTTAAAAGAGTATGCTTTTCTGAAGGAAATGTAATTATTTCTGTTTTTATCACTTTTACACGTTAGTAAAGATAAGCAACTGTTTTTTATTTGATGTCACAGAGCAGGGCAACCCCACGCAGGATCCAGTGGTCTGGTGACTGGACTGTAGGCAACATCACTGCTGTGATGTAGTTCAGGTCTGTGCGCTTTGGCTTCTTGTAGATGGGGCACACATAAAGCTCAGGATGCGGAGGGGCAGTGGAGTTGACAGCGAACATGTGAATGACAGGCAAGGGTGTAAACAACACTTTGGGTGAGGACTCGATGAGACGGGTGTTCTTTCTGTCCCAGCCAGCACCATCAACGTACAAACCATAGACGTAAACTCCCTCCTATTGAAGAAAGGCAGTCAATGACAGGATAGTCCATTATTTTATTCTCTCTTTAATAAAAAAAAAATCTGTTAGTCAATTGCCTGTTATTCACAATTTTCAGAAAATACTGCATTTTAACTCACTGTTGGTGAGGCTGTGATCTCCTCCTTTGTGTGCTTGAGTACTTTGTTGTTGAGTGTGACCGTGTCCAGAGCCCAGCCTTTGTTCGCTCTGGTTACTTCTTGCCTCATGGCTGTCAGAAATCCTGCAAACATCCAAATAAAGACAGGATTAGCATCAGTGTGAAGGATTTTATTCCCAGTTGACGGTAACATTTTTAGGTTTTCAACCGACTGACAGCTGGTTTTATTTATCTTCATTTAGCTTCAAAGTACAGTGTTAGGGATCGATATCAGCAGTCCTGCTTGTTTTCTCATTGGCTGTATATGATACCAGTAAAATGCTCAAAGGTTCAACTAACCCTGTGGGTTGAAGAAGCCTGTCATCCAAAATGTTTTTGGTCTTCCTTCAAACACCCAACTGTGGAACTGTTTGTTTCTCTCCAGGAGCTCAGTGAACCAAAAGCCTAGCGTGGAAGACTCCCAGGAGATTTTCCTCCACAGGTTTGGCACACGGGCATCAAAAATATTGTCGAGGGCATCACGCAGGTTCTAGGAGTGAAGTACAGACTTTAAAACTTCATGAGTGCAATTAATCGTATAGTTTAATCACTATGTGTAAAAAAAGAAATAAACCATTTCTGAAGTTAACAGTTAAAATGATTCCAAATATGGGGCGGGGGATCGTGGCTCAAGAGTTGGGAGTTTGCCTTGTAATCGGAAGGTTGCCGGTTCGAGCCCTAGTTTGGACAGTCTCTGTCGTTGTGTCCTTGGGCGAGACACCTTACCCGTTGCCAGTGTCCGGCAGCCTCGCCTCTGTCAGTGTGCCCCAGGGTGGCTGTGGCTACAATGTAGCTTGCCATCACCAGTGATGACTGGATGTGTAAAGCGCTTTAGGGACTATTAAACTGCTATATATGTTAATATTTGAACAGAGAAGTAAATTTACCTCGCTCATTATTATAGTGCCATCGATGGCCAACTTCAGGTCTGTCAGACTTATGCGCACCAAACTTATAATCCTTTGCATTCGATCTACTTCCTGACGTAGGAAGATGTTCATTGGGTTAAGCGCTCCCATCTTCAAGAGCCTCGCTTTGACCTTAACCAATCAAAGTGACAGCCATTAGATTTTAGTTCATGTAAACGTGACAAAAAAGCATTTGAACAGACAAACTGACCTCATGAGGTACATAGTTAGGAGGCAGCTTCTCCAACATGTCCTGTGCCATGTTATAAACAACAGACTCTCGAGTCACTCCTGATCCCCCTCCACTTTCCTTGGGCTGAATATTTGTGATTGTGTCTAGCACTTCAGCAGATGTGTTTGTCTGGTACCTGGTTAATATTCGTTACAGAGCAGAAATGCGTGGTTAGCAATTATATCAGCAATTACAAGCAAAGCATTCAATGTTTCGTGATGACCACATCCTCTCCTTACGTGATATCAGCATTAGAGTGCAGTCCTAATGCCTGGGGTGAATCCACAGTGGGCAAGCTCTGAATATATTCCATGTACTCCTCCACTGTCTCGCACACAGGAATCTTATAGCCCGTGTAAAAGCAAAATGCTGGATCAAACATCTTTTTACTGAACCACACCTGCAGAAAGAAATGCAAAATGCAGAGTAACCAGGATATAAACCTTTATTCATCAGTGAAAGGTAACTCAAAAACAAACATAAAACTGGGATTCTTACACGAGAGAAACACTTCAACAGGCGTTTGTCATAGTCATCTGTGACTCTTCCTCCATATTGCACCTCAGCTAGCATGTATTGCACAGTTACCCATGACACATCATGCTGGAAAAAAACGAACAAACCACACACTGGTAAGTGAGGGCAGACGATGCGAACTCATTTTTCTTTTTTACACTGTCCCAGATGAATCCTCACCTTCTTGTAGCGACAGTCATCCAAGTGCTTTTCAACAAATTCAACACTTGCTGTGAAATCAGCTGAGTTGAACTCATAAGGTATGTTCCAACCCAATGGTCCGAACTTGCGTCGCTCCTTAAAAACAGAGGAATAAATAAATAAATAAATAAATTTAAAAATATGAAACCAAATCAATTTACATGGCTTCTCACCAGGTCCTCTAAAAGGTCCTGCTTGACAGCATTTTTGTCTTGGTTACACTGGCTCCCCAATGAAGTTTAGGGTTTAATTTATAAATACGGCGATCACTTTCAGAGCCTTTCACAGTCAGATGCCTTCTTATATCAGTGAATTACTTCAACCAAACATGTCTAGATCTCTGGTGTCACCTTATTAATGCTTGTTGGCTGTGCCTCGGTCCAGATTAAAGACAAAAGGTGATGTGATTATGGCCGCAGAGCTTTGGAACTCGCTTTCATTGAAACTAAGATCTCTGGACACTGTTGATATCTGTGCACGTTTGCTTTTATTTAGCATTATCTTTTAAAGTTTTTATTTTTAATTTGGTTTATATCAACTTCTGAAAATGTAAAAGACTTTGAGAATTTTGTTCTTGGAAGGCGCTATATAAATAAACCGTACTAACAAACAATCAGGATCAGAGTAACTGCAATTAAACTTTGACAGACTGGTGAAGGTTTTTAAATAACTGCAGTATAATTAATAAATTCAGATAGATTGCCAAAATGTTGCAATCAGTGTGTAATCTAGCTATATTCTTATGTCAAAATAGGTTACTGAGGGTCATTTTGTAGTTAAATTGTCATGCTGCAGACACTACATTAACTTTTGTGGGGATTTCCAGATGGTAATTAATGCCAAATTAAATTAATTAATTCATGTGAATTTCTGTATAACCTGATATCACCGCATTTTTTGCATGATTGCATGAAATTTCCAACTTCACCCAATTAAATTTAAAAAAACTGATGTAAGACTGTAGATCCCAAGCTGACTGCACACAGGCTCAATAATTCTGGTGTGGTTTTCAACCAGTTTTCCCCTAGTGTGCCTTTAGAATTCAGAGTGATGATTCTCACTTATCATAACACACACAATTAAGAATTCTCGAAGTCAGTGATCCTTACATTTGTATATTATTCTGGCCTGAATCATGTCAGGAGCTACACTGATTATCTTAACCTGGACAGTACCTGCACAGCAGTGTGGAGAAAGGCCACACTGTACAACAAGGGCTTCCACGTGGGCTGGTTGCATACTTCCAACTGCTCCCGTGAAATTCCTGCAAATGTTCGTTTCAAGCCAGCACGTATTCCCTGGGGTGGATCGTTAGTAAATTTGATGGAGGACTAGAGGTAAAGGGTTGAGAAATATTTGCTTTAAGCTTGTACACAGCATCGGGTCAAGATGGGAAGTAATAAATGAAGTGCTGCAGCATACAAAAGCTTTGTCAAATGTCACCTGTAAAAGTGTGATGGAGAATCGATTGTGTGGCTCTGTGGTGATCCACACTCTAAAAGTATTGTGCATGGTGTCTGCAGCTGTGATAGTTTCGAGCAGCTCATCCATAAACTCCAAGCCCAGGTGACAGTTTTGCAGTAACACCCAGCCTCCCTATACGTATCCAGGTACAGAGACCACAGATTAGGTGAAATACTCAGCCATTATTAGGGTTATAGTACAATGTGATTGGATATCGTAAAGCTCTTCTTTAATGCTCTATCTGATAGAACATTACTCAACAAGCAGTATATCTGAGAGCAGACACAAACAGGTCAGCAAATTTGTGCATGAGCAGGGAGGGAGATGATTAGCAACTGGAAAACAAAAACTCATGTGCTAAAATGAAAGGATCATGCTCTTCATTGAATTGTATTCACACCTCTATCATTGATGTCTTAACAAGCTTCCTTGCATGCACCTCTTGTCCTTGTCCCATGGAAATTGCACTACATTCTGTAGGATGAAACAATGCAATGACAAATCATCTTCTAAGTTAAAACTGCAAATTAAAGGTTGTAGTGTAGTGTAGTGTTTTATGGTTTAGTCAAACTCACTAAGTTGAAGTTTCTTAGCTAGTGCTTCAATTTGCTCTGTGGGATCTGAGCCCATAGAAAGGAAGCAAATTAAAGGGGTGCGAGGGTCACTTTCCTCCCATGTGCTGTGAAGGTTCAAGATGACAGGCTCAGCAAACCTTATGCCCAAAGAATCTCCCACATATTTTACAGCCTGAGACAAGGTACGGTCAGGACACCAGGACCTGTGGGAAAAAAACCCAAACTTATATGGTTATTGTCTTGTGTATGTATGTGTGTTTAAAAACACAACCACATAAAAAGACCAGCAGGACAATCCAACCTTATCAACAAGAGTTTATGGAAAACATCAAGAGAGTTGTATCCATCTGGAATGACACCTTCTTCTGGTGCATCAAGACTGACCCAAGCTTTCCAATGTTTTCCACTTTGAGACACCTATAAAATATATCAATATTAACTCTGTAAGTACACAACAGCAGAAACCTCAAATTTATGATCTGTGGAAAGTAGCCTCACCTGCTTTACAATGTTTGTGAATTGTGGCAATTTGCTGAGCTCCACCAAGTTTAGCCATACCATATCCAAGATCCAACTGAATGGTTTTGAGGGGCAGGTCTTCAGGTCCAGAGCCGCTCCACCTATTTAGACATTTAATGAGCTCATCATGTTTTATAGCAATAACAGAAAGGTGCAAAATTACATTTCCTGGAAGTGCCGATGACCTCACCTTTAATAAGAACCTGAAATTTGTTGTGCTCTATTCTGTTATTCTGTATGTCAATCTTGAGGGCCAGCAAAAGGGTAAAGATGAACTTGTGGTTTTCATACAAGCCTCTGACGGTGTATCTGAACACCTCAAAAGTCAGATATTCAATGATGTTTTCAATTCGCTTCTGAGTTTTTGGGGACTTTTCAGACCTGCAAAAACAAATTCACAGTAAGAGTAAGTAGACTCTTACTTGCTTACTCTTACCTTACTGTTAGAGTAAGCCATACTTACTCTAATGTGAATTTTATCAAAGCCTTATGCTTCATACTTCATAAGAGACACACATTTTTCAGTATATAAACTGGTACTGGTGAAAACATACCTTTCCAGTGACAGGTCAAAGATTTTCAGGAACTGACTCAGGGACGTCTGGTACATGACATTAACCATGCTCATCTCTGTGATGAGGAAGTAAAGGATGCTGCCTCGAGAGGCAACAGGACGATATTCTGCTTGAGCTATATAGATCTTCACCTCTGCTTCTGCTGCAACGCTGAGCTTTGCACTAACTTCTGCTGCGGTTTGCTTAGTTGTAGTCAGAATGCCGATCATGGACTCGTCATCAACTAAAGAACCTTTAATCACACAGAAACAGCTTTTTTAATAGAGCAGTAAATAAAATACAAGTATGTCTTAGATGTTAACATACAGAAGAAACAGGGTTACCCTTAGTACTGCTGAGTTTGTACAGCAGGTTGTCTTCCAGCTCTTGCATTTTTCTCTTATTAGCAGTCACATCTTTAATTAGCTTTAGTCTTTCGGCTTCTAATTCCTATTAAATAAATAATTGTAAAATTTCTGTGTAACCAAATGCCCCATCAATATTACATGCGGGATACTGAAATAACTTTTCATCAAACACATTAAAAAAATGCACTGATTTTCACAATTCATTAGTACATTTTCTACCACTAACCAATGTGAGGGGAGACTGTTTTCCACTGACCTGTTTCTCTCTGAGGATAACACGGCCAAGCAGCTGGTTCTCTAGACCCTTCATGTTAACAGTGAAATCAATGATGGAAGTCTTGGCACTGACTTCTGGGGAATATGCTGGATTGGGCAGCTTGGTGGTTATATAGAGTTGGAAACCATCCATTACATTTACTTCTTTGTCTCCCACTTTGACCTAAACAAATCCGATTTATGAGACAGCATGGTTTAAAGAAGTAGACGTAAAGATTGTTGAATGTTAATGGTTTGATGTTTACCTTGAAACTTGTCCCAGATTTGACGAAGTTTTTCTCAAGGACATTGTCCAGCACAGGATCCAGATCCTCAGCTATATCTTCAATGAGCAGTGGATTTCCCAAAGAAAGAGAGTCTTCCAAATGATTACGAAAGAACTTGTGCTTCAGTGATGTGACCTGAAAAGACAAGACAGCTTGCCTCCATAAGATGCATAACTAAAACAACCAAGTTTGTTAAAAGTTTGTTGTAATCGACAAAGTACTTGGAGTGAATTGGCCATTTCTTTTTTCTTTATCCAAGCCTTTCCCTGAGTCTGAGGATCAATGAGGAGGGGATATCTTGTTGCTTTTGAGACAATGATACCATTCTGCACAGACAGGTCATCTCCAGGGAGTCCCTGAAGGTTCCACTCACTTATCTTAAACAAAAATAGGATGATAAAAGTCTTTAATAAGTCACAAATATCCTTTGAGATGCTAGTAGATATGCAGAATTAGATTTATTTTGTTCTTACAGTGGGAGGGTCCACTAGGGCAGAAATGATGTTGAGATTTTCTGTAAAAGGGATTTTATTACTCTTGAGCTCTGCCTCCCAGATGTCCTTCAGCAGGATGTCACGGAAACTCTGGTTGAACGGCCCGCAATAAGACAAGAAACCAGTGAGCTGCAGCACGTCACCCACCAGTCTGCCAAGAAGAACAGAAGCAACTTGCCTCATTATTATTCTACCCCAATCAATACACTGCAAAACTGCAAGCAAACATGCAGACATGAAAAACAATCCCTTCCTAATACAATATTTCAATATAAAATGTGATTTTCTTTGTAACCTACCTGTTTATCTGTGATTTAAATTCTTTGCTCTGCTCTGTCCAGCGAACTTTCTCTCCACTAAGTCCATCAATAAGTGCAGATGCAGCCTGCATTTTATTCTTGCATTTCTCAGCATCATCCAGCAGGTCCTAAAAAAGACAAAACCTTGAATGATCTACAATTTCAAATTCTACATAAAGGTTTATGCAATATTAATAACATTTATCAGGGTGTACTGCACCTGTTTTTCTTTCATAGCAGCATCACATTTGGCCTTGACTTTGTCAAACTCTGCTTGCTTCTCAGCAAGCTGAGCCTCTGCATTCATTAGTTCATTATTTGCAATTCTTAGTCGGTTTTCTTGAACAGCCAGGTTAGCCTGGAGAAAGATAAAAGACACTGAGATTCACAAAAAACATATGAGGCACAGAAGTTTCATTACACATACTAACTAATATAAAAAGGCTATGAGCTAGAAGCTAGGATTAAAAAATATTGACCTCTAAATTACAGACTCAAAGAGGCTGAAAGAAGAAAGCTTAACAATACAAGTACAACAGTCCCATGTCAGATCTACTTTGTAAACAAATTATGTCTCTCTGTCACATTGAGCATTAACATCACCTTAAGTGGCAGCACTTCTTTGTTGATCCCAAAGAATGTGGACATAGCCCGGGTCCATGCTAGCAGACCAGCTACATTACCACACACCTTCTTTGCATTTTCCATTGTGTAATCTTCCATATCAAAGTAAGGAAGTAGCAGTTCTACTGATTCCTCATTAATTTTGTCTTTCTGGAAATGTTGGAGGGACGTCATGAAACCAGCAGCACTCATAAGCTAAAAGAGGACACAAACATATGGCAAAGGTATCAAATAAAATAGCATTCAGTGATGTGCAACTCTCATAAACCTATATTTTATTCTCAGGAGACTACAGAAAACATCAGATGTTTAAAGTGAGAAACATACCATTTAAAAAATGAAAGATTCAGCACAAAGCCATGCTGTTGTGATAGAGGTATGAGGATGAGGATGCAGTGTCCATGTTTTCCAAAGATTTCCAAATTTTAATTCAACTGATTATAGAATAGTTTTCCACTTTTAAACAGGATTTAGCCCAGGGACGACAGCAATGTTACTGCATCATGTGCAGACTTGCAGGCATGGTGAACTGTTTTTAACTGACAGTACCTAATCCCTTGTGGTGTTTTCCATGACATAATCATGCCTGTTTTTAAACAAACTGTATCATATTGATTTTTAGATTTGCCCTCTGCACACAGATTTCTCAAGATCTTCATAATCGTGCAATAATATTATGTAGATGATGAGCTATTCAGTCTATCTATATTGAGGAACACTGCTGTCAAATCATCTAATTGATTTGTTACCAAGTAAGCTAATTAAGCTAATTGGTTGCAAAATGTTTCTCCTAATATTTAAATATTAGGCCTTAAACATTTTGCTGGAAAATAACTCCATTTAGTGAGTTTTTATAAGAAACGTTTTTGTTACCTTCAGTGCTTCTGCCCACGATGGCTTAAGACACTGTCGTTCAGGATCAATGGAGACAGAGTCTAACTTCTTTTGAAACAAGAGAAGGCAGGAGTCCATGATCCGCATAATCAGATGTGGCGGCTTGGCTAATTTTCTCACAGTGGCAATATCAGTTGGCTTTATGGTCTGTAAAACATTTAAAATATATGTACTGTGTACATACAGTATATATGAGAGAAGTACTTGTGTATGTAAAAAGTAATCACAGAGGTCTCACATTCAGTGCGGCTTTAGCCTCTTCTAAAGCTGGTTTAGCAGCCTCTAGTTTAGCTTCAGCAACAATCTTCTCCTTTCCAATCCCCTCCACAATTGTCTGGGCTTTATCCTTCACAACTTGGACCTCATTCTTTACAATTGTAGCAGCTTCAGCACTGACTGTTACCTCTGCCAACACCTATGTAAACGTAAAACAAGAGTTATAAAATGTGTAAAATATATACATAATACACATAACATTATGTCTATAAGTTGTGCATTTTGGGAGGGGGGGTCACAGGAACCACTATGTATTATTTACCTTGTCAGCTTTGAGAGATGCTACAGCAAGCTCTTTTTCCTTTACTTTCAGTTCTTCGGATAGCTGAGCCACAGACTCACTAGCCTCTTTTAGTTTCTCCAACCCTGGAAAACAATAACAATTTGAAAACCCCTTTTACCTGAATAATCTTTGCAAAGTAATCCATACATGCCATCTACAGATTTCCTATTGAACTTTCTTACCAACATTCATGCGTTCTGATAGTATGTTGATGCTGTTATACTTTTCAGTGTACAACGTTTTGTAACCATTTACAAAAGAGAGGTAGGATTTAGGGGTAACGTGAGTTCGTCTTCGGAATCTAAAAGATAATAGATACAATGCTGCATTGATGTAAAATATAAATTATATACAAATAAAAGAAAAATTTAAATTACATACATGAATATAAAATCATTTAAATGTATATAAAAATATCTTCTGTGTTTTCTACCTCTCAAAGTAGCTTTCACATGTGACAGATACTTTGTCATGGTATGTTCCCATAGCCGTCACCACAGACGCTTTGACTTCAGCAGAACAAACCATATTAAACTCAGACAAGAAATAATTGGATACAGCCACCAAAGCCTCATTTGGCCAAGGGGTGAACCAGTCCATCGTGCAGCCAGAAATCAACCCTGGAAACTTCAGAGACCGGGAGCGAAACTTCGGTCCCACCTGTCAAGGTTGTGAGACAAAATGTGCTTCACCACAGACTCATACAAATATGTCTTTGTGTGTCTTTAATGTAATATTATAAACAATACAGGTGAACAAACAATACAAAGTCCCAACATCTGAGTCACTGCTTTTGTGAAACAAGCATACAAATCTTTGACGTACCGGTGAGAAGCAAAGAACAACATGGAGATTCTTTCTTGACCGTGAAATAAAATACTCGTAAAGGTTGTCAAAAGTTGGTGGAATACGAGGAAACTCCTTTTTCATCACAGGTATTAGCTTCTGGGTGATCTCTTGGATCTCATCTTTAGCAAAAAGATTGGAAACCTGCAAACAGTCAATTCACTATGAAGTCATCTGGACCAAATATGGCCACAAACGTGGCAGTTTTTAATTACATGGTCTAAATTTTGACTTTCAGCTTGGATCAAAGTGGATTTTTGTGGATTTAAATATATCTGAATTTTTTTAAAGATCCCCACCTCTCCAGATGAAAGAACATTGTTGAGGTACTCAAGGAAGGCCTCATTCTTGATATCATTATCAGTAAAGATAAAGGTGATGCCTTTGCCTTCAGCCCCAGCTGTCCTATACAGCACTTTCAGGTCATCCAGGAAATTGGTCATGTTGTATGTTCTAAGAAGAAGACAAACACTATAAATTCTGCTAATTAGCTAAACCCCAGATGATGCACATGTGTTTACATGCCATAACATGCCAGGTGCAACCATGTGTTTTCATCATGCTTTTGACCCTCAATCTATGGCTTGTGGATCCCTGGGGCTCCAGGGGACCCAGTTTAAGAGCCACTGGTATAAGGTCCTTACCTTATAATATAAGCAGCTTGAGGTAACTGTTGTGAATTGGCACCATATTGATAATATTAAATTGAGCTGAACTGAAGTTTTAGTTTTTCTGTTCTTACCTGGTCAATGTGATCTGGAAGACGTGGTATCCAGCTATGAATGAGGCTAGCCGCGTAAGGCTCTGTTTACCTGATCCTCCGACACCCACAAGCAGGGCATTTCCTTGGTCAGTTCGAATTATTCGTGAGATCTAAAGCATTGGAAATCTTCAATAAATCAGCATTAATTGTAGCCAGATATAAAGGAAATGTATTCGTTGGGCTTGTAGTCTGACCTTGACGAGATGAGTCATTGCATCTGTGAAGAAAACCAGATCCAGAGTCGAGCCTCTTATGATCTCATTGTGTTGAGTCTGATACATCATTAGTTTCTCTGATAAGAACTTGAAATTTGGCACCTGAAAAAGTGAGCGTTTTCTTTCTGATTAGTATGACAGCTTTCTATATCAATGTTCAACTGTATCAATATTGTACTGTGGCTATAAATACAAATCTTTTACCAGTTCATAAATTTTAGGGGCATCAAAACACGCATCCTCCCCTTCTTCTCCAGTTGGCTCAGGTGCATCGCGGAGAAAGTCCACAAAGTATGGCTCAGGATGAAGTTTTGGGACAAGGCTAGGCTCAACATGCTCTTGGATCACCCGGGATACACCCTTCTCAAACCACTCTCTGTCCTCTGAGCAAATAAACCTACAGCAAAATGATGTTTCAATTTTAGCATCTTTGTTCTGCTTATAAAGTGATTTGATGGATGTGAGAACTTTACCTGTCAGCAATCACCCTTGCACATTCACTCTTGAAAAGAGCCAAGAGGGTAGGTATATCATGACACTCCTCTGCCTTGATGTTTAACATCCCTTGCCAGATCCGAGACAAATCTCTCAAATTGAAAATGTAGTGGAACTTGGATGGTGTGGGAAGCATTTTTACCTTCAATGTGAAATCATCGAATAAGATGTCTTTATTAATACATCCACTTTTATAATCTGTTCACATCATCTTTTAAGTAGTTACCTTTGTCCACTGCCATAAAATCCTCCCAGCAGATACAAGATGCTTAACCATATCTGAAATGCTCTGCTTGAATTTTCTGCATTCATGGAAGTAACCACCACTAATTATACCTGCAAAAAAATTGCATCAAAATAATCTATTTGTTGATACAACTAGTAATGAGGGGAAACAAATTTTGAGGTACTTACCAAAGATCTTATCAATTGAAGTATTTGATGGCAGAGTACAGTTAAAGACAGTAAACTGCCTCTTGAGTCTTTGAGGGATGTCATTTCTCCCACCACCAGGGTGAATCATGGCAGCAAGTATCTGCACATCTTCAATAGTGGAGAAGTCTCCTGGTTTGTCCAGACTGTACATGCCACTCATTTCCATCATCTGTCGAACTATCTCATTGGTGATCTGGTTTGGAAAGTTATATAAAGGAGTTATGCCTGAATTACTGTTCAGTGGAAAATCTACACCGTAACCTTCCACATAACCTGACATGCACCTTCTAAAAATGCATTTATGCATTTACGTGTTTTTGGTTATGTCCTAAGTTATGATGTAGATTTCCCAGAGAAGTCTAAATCAAACTTTACTAAGACTGGAAGCAACATGAAATAGTAAACAGTATATTTGCTGTTTTGTGTATTTTGTAAAATAAATATATTATATACATATATATATATAAATACCTGATCTCCCCATTCATTGACAACTGGCATGTTTATATCATCAATAAAGACTGTCATCCTGCGTCCTCCTGGGGGTCCATAGGTGCTGCCAATTCTTTTCTCAATGTAACTTTCCACTGTTCGCTGTATATGTATGTATATAAAAAAGCTTTTACTAACAAAAAGCCATATAGAATTTGATAAAGATAAATATAAAGAACATTTTATAGGTTACATTTTACCTGAAACATTAGGGGTTCTGTTGCAGATGAGAAGTTCAGCGTCTTTGATAGGTCTGTCTCAGGATCATATTTTTTTGTGTAGCTTTTTATCATCACAGTTTTAGCAGTTCCTTGTTCTCCAATGAGCAGCACAGCCTATTTATACACAAAATTTAACTGTAACAGAAGTACATACCAAGGATAAACATATGCTCTTTTATTTAATATTCATATTTTAAAGGAGACCTTGTGTTGTTTAGCAATGGTATCCAGCAAGAAAGAAGTTCTTGTGTTATCCACATTGGGAACAAGAATAGAAGTGTAGTCAGGCAAATGGTCAGTTGGATAGATATAATCACCCACATGGTTGTTCCAATGACACCAATCACCTGAAATAAAAGATGAAGCTCTTATAGTAATTACATTTCAAAATGCAAAAGACAGCATAGGGGGTTTATGTATTGTATAAAATGTTTTTACCATTTGTGCCAATCATGTACTCAAACATAGTTTCCCCTGGCCGTGTTGGAGGAACATCAATATTGCTTTCATGACCTCTGATGTAAGTCTCTAGTTTGTCTCTATCATCTAACTCCAAAATGGCTCCAAGGCTCCACATCAGACAGAAGGCAAAGAGACGCTCAAGGTGTTTGCTACCAGCAAAGCCTCCTGTCTCCTTGGTTGGGAGGAGGCCTTCCAGCAGATTCACAGACTGAAGGTGGAACATAATGAGACAATTCAATATTTCTAATTAATTTAGAAGCATCATCAATTTCTTCTCATTTGTCAGAATACATACCTGCATTACATAGTTACACTCCAAAAGCTCCATTTTGGGTTTAAGGTTCTGCTTCATATACAAGTAAGCATCCTCAAATATCTTGTCATATAAACTTAAAATACTTTCTGCCTCCTTTGCATTGCGCTTGTTAGCCCATCCCTAAAACATAAAGGCCACATTCCATCTGAATACAGTATTGTAACAGCAGCACTGATTCTTTTCTCCAAACAGTTTTTGAATGGAAAATTTCAAAAAACAAGCCTACCCTGAGTATGGGTTTCCAACTGAGAGCTGATGAGCTCATGAAGACCATACCCACCCGGGACACTGTAGCAGGGGAGGCATTATCCATGTTGTGCACCTCAAACACCAACTTGCAACATGGTGACATTGTGATGCGGTCACCATTAGCCAAGGTCAGTGTTTTGTTATCATCCAACACAGAATTAAGATTCTCAATCCATATGGCGTCGACAGGACCATCAAGCACAATCCATATGAACTCCCCTGAAGTGTTCACATTTTAAAGAAATGAAAAATTATATATATATATATCTGTGTGTGTGTGCGAATATTCATTAAATATTGTATCATAAACCTTTCTTAGCTTTGAGTGTCCTCCTCCATAGTGTGGAAAATATCCCATCTGTCCAATCATTGGTGGCTGCATCAAGACGGCCAAACATCTGCGCAGCAGTGATTGCTTTGGGGTTCATGCGCATCTCCCTATGCAGGTATCCACATTCAGTCATAGCTCGCATGAGAATGTTGATGACTGTGGTCTTCCCAGCTCCACTTGGTCCTAAAGTCATCAGCCCATGGCGCACTCGTGAAGTCTCATAAAGCTGATAGTGATGTATCAGTAAGAAAGAGTTATTTCCAAACAAAATCCAAATAACAACAGCAGATGAACATGCAGATGGTACCTGAACAAGCTTGAGATTCCAGGGAGGATGGTTGATTATACCGGCTGACTGCACTTGATGGGCAACAGCTGCCTGAAGTTCAGCATATGTGCTACTATCCAGCTGGATACCAGGGAACAGGTCATTGATGAGACTGAGGAAAAGTGACTCATCCTCATCCACCTGAAACACATGCACATTACATATATATATATATATATATATATATATATATAATATATATATATATATATATATATATATATATATATATATATATATATATAAATATATATACATACACACACACACATTACTGTCAAATATTTGACTGCTGTCCTTTAGCACTAGGTTTGTGTCATACCAGTTTAGACAGATTCATGTCACGCAGCACTCTCATGACAATGCTGGACTCTGTGTCATCAGGCCGTGCTCTTTTAGCAGCCCCAAGTGTTCGTAACACGGACAGGATGTTCCTCAGGCCAAAGTCATAGTGGACCTAACAAAGCAAGAGCTTAGCTTTAGAGGGTTAATAATTGCTTATTATAGGAACTAAACTGGCCACAGGATTATTACCTGTTTTGTAAGTTGTTCTTCACACAGTTTATAAAGAACAAAAAACTTCTGGGCTAAGATGATGTTTTCATTGAATCCACAACTGGCTAGCTTAACTCTCATGATGATCTGTCAAAGGCAATAGTGAAAACGAATTAGAACTTAAACAAAACAGACAATATTTCTCCCTAGAAAAACTAATCTTTACCCACCTGTCTGTCTGGCACCATCATAGAAACCGTCCTGAATTGCACTTTTAAATTTTCAGGAAGTTCCTGACGACCGGCATATCCGGGATTCTATGTATTGAGTGACAACATGTTTTATTATATTCATACTAAACATCTGCTGCCTAGTAAACATATAAATCCTGTATCTTACCATAGTGATAAACAGGCCAAACTCTGGATTCAGATCCACAGTGTCTCCATCAGTAAAAATAAATGTGCTCTTCTGGTTCTTGCGTGCCGTCAGAACTATGTAGATCTGCTGAGCAGCAACAGAGAGCACTGGCAGGTCGATTCTGTTGAACTCATCAAAACAACCCCAGGACCCTGACTGCGCGAGGCCTGAAAAAGAATGAACAATTTACCAAATGTGCATATTTTTGGAATGTGAAAAGCAGCTGGGAAATCTGAGTAACAAAACATGCAAACACAACTGAAGACCCTCGTAGATTTGAACCTAGAACCAAAATCTTTCTATGAGCAGCATAAGATAAAATGAAATCTGAGTGTTTTGCTCATTAATCCAGGTAAGGAAATCCCAGAAAGTTGATTCGGCTCACCTGGATGTCAAGACTGAAGAAGTCACTTGGGTGAGAGATGAAATGTTTCTCCCACTGAAAATGCTACACAATACATTTTCTAAGATATCTGATAATTTGATTAATTACTTAGGATACCTTTATAAATCCTTCCAAGTCCTCTGAAGTCCATCTGGTCAGAGCAGTTGAACACTACAACATACTTGCCAAGACAGCGACCCATGTCTTTGGTAGTTTCAGTTTTCCCAGTTCCAGCCGGTCCTGCAGGGGCTCCTCCCATACTCATACCTAGAGCTTGGGCTAGTGTGATGTAGCACCTAGGTAAACAAGAAGGGGTTAATGAATGTACCTTAGTACTTAAATCTATATAAAAAGTAATTAACAAAATCTCATTATTTACTTGCCTGTCTGTCAGTGGAGTGATGACCAGACGATCAGTACAGCCTAGAAACTCATTCTGATAAATGAAGTCAACATTAGTAATAGACACAATGACCTTATCCAGGTAGCCCCTGAAGTAAAACCTGCTCTGCTTCAGCCATTCGAAGTCGCCTACAGATTTTATACGCTTTTTCACCTGAGGAAAAAGCAGGACATGAAGAGGAATGGTTGACCATAACAGTTTAATAATAAAAAGTTATCTGTGATAGTAGATATGGACAAGTAGCATTTATCCAAAAATAAAAAAATAACAAAAAACTCACTAGGTCATTAAATATATCAGTCTGGTGCACATGAATTGTGACAAGTGTCTCATATTTGACTCTGTCAAATTTGCTGAGGTCATAGGTTGTTTGCTTGATGAGTGTAGTGAGCAGACTCAGTAATTTCTTTTGGGTAAGAGACATGATGTGCTTGTCATCTTCTGTATGGTGCAGGGCCTTCTCTGCATCTCTTGTCCAAATCATTTGGATTCCCAGCAAGCCCACCTAAAAAGTACGAATCAAACAATACACGAAAAGATGCGTCATGTATAGTACATACAGGTAAAGTGGTAGAAATATGATGCTACATGAAAGGTACTACTGTCAAAGATATCCATACTTGTTATTTTACAAACGTTGGAAAAAGAATGAAAAAGAACCATGAGATCTGTTAAGCTGCCTCTGCCACTGATAAAGGCAAGAAGGAAATGTGACATGAAAACAAACAGTCATGTTGCTGGATAGTTTAATCTTAGTAATGAGAGAGTAACGTCTCAAATCTTTAAAATCTTGAATCCCTTTAAACACTACTAAATGGCGGTTGGTATTACAGATGGAAGAAAAAAAAATCTCTGTTACACTTAAATGAACAAAATATTTTAAAAACTCATGAAAAAGATTTTACTAACAGCCACAATTCAGTCTTCCTACCTGTGCTTGAAATCTGTTGAGAAAAGCAAGAAGATCAAACTCCTCATCGTCTATCTCTAGATCTGCAGCTCTGATAACAGAGTGCAGTGAAGCCTGTTGTTGCACCAAAAGCTTCCTAAGCCAGATCTCAACTTCTCCCTGAGCCATTACAGGACTCTCTAGCTGAAAACACAGAAACACATTTGCTATGTTGTACCACACCTGTGATAAAAATTGGAAAAATATTTGCTGACAGCCTCAATTGAACCTTATTCTTTTTGAATATCTATTTATTGTACCCTACACTTGTCTGTAGAAAATAGCAATCTGATATAAATTTAACTTTAATTTGAATTTGACTCTGTTGACCGCTTGCAAAAGTTATTTGCACTAAACGTAACAAATGCAATTCAACATATAGTTGTATTATAGCTCTAAACTGAAAATGCAAATAGCATTAAATACCGGCAGTTTTTCCCCTTCTTGTGAAATAACAGCTATGATCTTGTCATATTCTGTTGTGTGAAACTCAGCTTCTTTTACGTTGTCAAACACTCCAAGAAGATGTGCCTGAAAAACAAATGCATCTACAATTATTTTTGCTATTTTACCCAAAATCAAAAACCCAAAAGAAAAAAAAGAGAGAGAAAAAAATAAACAAAACCCAAGAAATCAGATTTCAATACACAAACCATTTTCTTAATATTTCTATCCTGATCGTCTCATTCTTTGCCCATGAAAACTCCAAATTTAAATTGTATTTCTTATTTGCTAAGATGAGTTTTTAACATATCTACGCAGACAAACAAATTAGGCCTTTTGCAGTAGCAGTATAATTACATTGTTTTATACTTTTTATTTAAATTTAAGTTTCTTACAGTGGCAGTGAATGTTCTGACCTGAATTGTGTGAGAATCACTGGCTTGTCCAAGGATTTCCAAAAGGGCAGGATCAGACACAAAGAAGAACCGTGGAAACAAGAGTCTCTTTTTCTCAAGATACCTGTGAAACAAGATCATATCATCTGCAGTGTACACAATGAACACAGAAGTATTGTTATAATTATGGGGCCCATTTATTCAATGCTTTTCTTTTTGTTGCAAAGCATCTGTGGGTGACAAAAGGACAAAAAGGGGTAGAAAAGGAGTAATTATACTGCATAAAAAGTGCTTGAGTAAAAAGCTAATTAACTAAATAGTTAAATAATGTCATGTAAATTTTTTTAAAGACTGAGCTACTTTTCTGCTTTTCTTTTTACCCTCCACTGTTGCAACCAACAGAAAGACGCAAACTAAAACAAGGATGGTGCCAAAAAAATTACCCTGCAAGAGATTTCTGACAGAGCTCTAGTTGTTTCTGAAGATCTGGAAGCTTTTCTCGCAGAGAGGGATCACCTACACAGCACTCCACAGCATTTGGGACCTTTTGTGCTCGCCGCATGATTTCAGTCCAAGACTTGTCAATATTCTGAAATTGATTTGCTTCCTGCAAATGGAAACATTTTTATGTTAGCATTTACTTAAGGATGCTTTCAAAATTGTTATTTTCAGGCCACAGGGCAGAATTAATGAACTGTACCTGTGGCAGATCTTTGGCAATATCGCCCCCAACAAACACAGCCTCCAAATAGACCCACAAGTTTTGCACTATAACCCACTGTTCAATGACCTCAGATGATGTTGAAAGCTTGAAGACCCAATCTTGGATCTCTGCTTTGTGGAAGGTACTGTACCTGTACAAAGCAGACAAAGCTTGTTAAGTTCTTTAAGACATTGCAGAAATGGGAATATGTGTGGATATTTCACATCTTGAATGATTACACCCAAACTAATCTTTGTCACTACTAATGTTTCTGGGCTGAATGATTTGTTACAGTTAGGTAGGTCTTGCAGTCTTGCCCTTTTATTACTCCAAAGTATTAAAGTTTCTTGGAGATCAAGTTTATAAAATCTGTTACAAAATTATAAGCCGGGGTTTATTCTTTTCTACCTGTTGCTCAGCAGTGAACCTAGCACCATCAAACTGTCCTCCAAGTTGGTGAGAATCTCGGATGTTTCTGCTCCTTTCAGCATCAGTTCTCCTCTACTCTTAAATGTCATCAAGCTCAGGGTCTGAGCAGACCACAGCTCTTTTACTTGTGATAATTTGGCCTCAATATCCTTCTCCTTTACAGCTGATATGCAAATGTCCTACAAATACAAAAAGCCAAACTTGGGATGGTGCATACACATGAGCAAATCAAATCTATAAAAAAAATCTTGAAATCGAAGTATATTATAAATGTCAAATCTGCCAGCACACCTCAATGTCGTCCTTGTACGTCAACAAAGGCGCCTCCATGATGTTCTCAAGTGTAAACGTACTGGACTCCACCTCAAAATGGTGTCCAGTCACTTGTGCAATACGGTCCCAGTGTCTCCGTTTCATAGACTTGTTTGCCATCATTTCAAGAAGAGGACACGAATCATTAAAATCATCAATGGTCTTTTTTAGATCAAGAAAGGCTTGCCAGTCCTTTAGTGCTTTGGGTAGCTTCCGACACCTATAAAAATTGGATAATAAACTTTTGTTAAAATGACTACTCTTAAAAAAACATTCACTACACAACAAATTTTTAGGTCTGTAAGTTATAATAACAGATATACTCAACCTGTTCTGAAAATCCAGAAGTTCGCCATTGATCTTTTCAATATCCACTTGTATCCATAGTATCTTATAGTACCCACTAATCTTGTTCATCACTGCATCATACAGGCCATAGAGTTTTTGAAGCAGATCAAGCTCTTTTCTAAAGGAAGCATTAGGAAGCATAATATTTGAATATATTTTATAATGTGATAGATGTTAACACTTAGCATAGTATTAATAGAGATGCAAAAGTTATTCTAGCACAGAACAAGGTTTGATTTTTTTGCTGATGTACTTTTTCTTGTGTAGACAGTTGTATTCTGTAACTGGTAAGCCAAGAAGCTGCTGTCCAGAAGTATATGTGGTGAAGTTTCTCCAAAGCTCTTCAAATCTAGCCTGCAAACAAAACATACAATTAAATCTCGCAAGACTGTTTGTTAAATATGATTTTGATGTTTTCTTGCCCTATCAGCTCTCTCTTATCTAGTAATCATTTACCTCTAACTTATGTGAATGATTATAGATTTTCACACACTGAAAGAATTGAAACTGTCACCTGATAGATCTGAAGCCTGCGGCTGGCTTCTTGTGGAGCTAATCCTACAACCAAAGGGCCTTCCTGAAAAACAAGACATAAAATGAAGAATAGGTTAATATGAATACATTGATTTATTGAAAACCACCCGCACACAGTTTTTAAGATTACTCACAGAATCAAACTGTTCCATATAAGTGTCAACATCTTTTTGGAAGATAGCCACGCTCACGAGAAGGTCTTGTTTGAACTTGGGTTGCATACGAACAAGCTCATATTGCACCGATCTCTGCACAAGTCAATATCAAAAATAAAATCAAGATCACAGCTTATCACATTTACAACACACAAGATCACATTTATTTAAAAAAAAGTCATCAAACAAAATAGGCATTAATGTCATGATAATACTTACAGCTTTAGACTGCAGCATTGTGAATGAGTCTCTCAGACTGTACACTTCTTCTACTTCTCTTTTGGTCTCTTCTGCTTCATATTTTGTCAAAATTTCATATGCTTCCTGTAAATACATTCTTATATTTAAATGTTCAACATTTAGCTCACTCTGAACACGCAGGCCTCTCATTTATAACTAACAGTAGTAACAGTAGATAGTTAGGTACAATTAAAATTACATCCTCAAAATGTCTTTCACTAAAAATTTCTGGGCTTTATTTAATGTTGTTACTGGTACTCTGCAGCAGTTCATATCACTTTGTTTATTGTGTAGTGCTATTGCCAGTCCTTTGAAATATCTGCAGTTACACAATACACTTAAGAAACTGATACCTCAATGGAAATCAGTGTCATGTCAGTCTGTATTTCAGCTTCTCGAAGCGTAGACAGGGCCCCCATAGTACAGCGTACATCTTCCAGATTAGCCACAGGATGTGATAGCTGTATAAGGTAGTTGTTCAAATGTATGTGTGTGTCAGTCATTTTCTTCTTGTACCTCTCCTTCAGGTATTTGCAAATTAGTTTCTTCCAGGCTTTTGTCTCATCTGTTAGGGCCTTTTTCAGTGAACCTGTATATAAAGGAACTTAGCATTAGTCCTCCAGTTCTCAAACTAATAACCACCTACATGTGACATGTGTAATAAAACACACTAAATATCCAATTATCCAGTGGTAGCAGAATGGAATTCAATCCTGGTCCTCACAAATAAAAATTACCTGTTGTTAAATGAACAGATTCAAAAGCAATAACAGGCTTGATAGCTTGAATTTCTTGCTCAACTGAGTCATAGTGTTCGATTTCAGATGTAATGTGGATCAAGGATGGTTTGCTTGCCATGAATTCCTTTGTAGAAATTAAGAGAAGGGATATGATAATGATATAACTATATGAAAGCAACAAGGAACATGTCATGGTGAAAGAAAATCAAAGACAACTAACTTTGACTTTAGCGTTTTTGTCCTCTTCCCAGATCGCTCTGAAAGTATTGAACTGTTTCAGAACATTGGCTGCTCGTCCCTTCTGAGAGTTGATTGCTGTTTTCAGAATGCCCACGAGTTTTTTGATGTCCTTGTGTTCCACAACAAAGTTAAATAAATGATCTCTTTCTGCAGAAACACAAATAAACAGTCAAAAGTACAACCAACGATTGTGCTAACAGCTAGCAGCTGACAGTTTCATTCAAAGTTTAACATTTACTTTTGTAAATGTTATTTTATGGGTGAGTGAGCCCATAAATTCAGCAGGAAAGTATAAAGGGAAACAGACTTCTACTGGACCAGAAGTCCATTTGCAACCACAACTATCACCATCTAGTGGCCTTCAGATAGAATGCAAGTTAGAGGCACCTCTGAAAGGTACTACCTTCATGTCTTACACAGTCCCCACAATAAGCTTAATATTTACAATCTTCATTCATAATAAAGGATGTCTTTAATTTAGGAGCTGTCATTCTTTGAACTTGTGCATCAAGTGTGTTTGCTCCTGTATGTGTATACTGATGGTGAGTTACCTGCTTTCTTCCTTTCATTAGGAGTGTACTCCCACTGCCAGGCAATGCTCTTGCTAACTTCCAACACAGAGTCAGTTAGTTGATTTATGGCCTGCTGGATTTCATCTAAAGTGGGAATCATTACCTGATAATGACAAATATCAGATATCAAAACTAGATTTTCTGTTCAACAAAACTTGCAAAGAATTCCAGATCTCTCTGTCCTACAATGCAAATACTGCCCCCTGAACATGTACTGAAAGAAAAGTAGAAACTCACCACGTTGGGTATATCCAGGTGGACTTCAGATTTTATTAGCGGAACTATCATAGGTTGAGGCTTGGATTTCTTGTAACTTCTGTAGTATATTGATGAAAATATGAAAGAGTTCTTTCTCTTTAACTTATGATACTGCACTGAGCACATACCAACTAACACAAATATACTTACATAGCACAACTAATCCTCTTTTTCAAGGTGTTCAGAGATGACTTTGTTGTTTTGAGAACTGCATCAAGTACCCTTGCAGTGAAGGATTCATAAAGCTTCTTAAACTCCTGAAATTAAAATTTGTATGCAAATCAGTGGGTCAGCTGCACATAGCAGAAGTGTTTTACAGTTGTTAGACAAATATACCTTTTCAAATTTAGTATTTTTGTCTTTCAATGAACTTTCTGCAGTCCCTCTCTCATCCTCATGAGCAATCGTGTGTCTCTCTCCAGGGAAGGTCATGGTCCTCCCGACTACAGTGTTGAAAGTGTGAAATACAAAAAATACATTTAAATACCTAATTTCTGCGTTCACTTGTATGCAACACTTAAAACTCTGCCTTGACATCACCTGACACAGGTTCCTCTGTCTTGTAGCCTTTTGGTTCATAAACAGCACTTAAAACAGTGTCCAGCTCTTTGATTGCTGTTTTGACATGACTACATTTGTAATTCAATGTTTTCGCCCACTTTTTACAAAGATTCTAAAAAGAGGTTGAGATATGTATTTGGTGAATAAGGCACAACTTATTTGTAAAGGCAAATTAAAAATGAGGAGAAGACTTTAGCAGAATTAAATTCATTTCGGTTGATAAACATCTAAAATTTGTGTTTTGATTTGGTACGAGTGGCCATACCTTATTATGGTCAATCAGATGCTGAACTGAAGTTGGATCATCTGAGAGCTCAATCAGCACCGTCTCTGAGATGTCTTTAAGGACATCATCAATGTGTAACTTGCTAATATTTAGCACCTGAAAAAGAAGGAAATGTGGTTCTTGCTTATTATAAATGCACAATAAGGAAAATTTTAATGAATGACACAGAAACAGACCTTATTCACAAGATGCTGGAGCTCATACAAAGCCGTGTCAACTCTTTGGAAGAACTCGTCCAGGAGTAAGGATGACCAGGTGATCAGCACTGCCCCATGTTGAAGAGCAGATTCAACCTTGCGAGTTACCAAAGACATTAAAGCTTATTATGATGCAACAGCCATAAAAAAATTTTTTTTTAAAAAGCATGGCAACAGCAGGGTTGAGACCTAATTTCTCAATGGTGCGACTAAAGAAAGCCTAGGTCGCACCAGTACGACCAGCCGGTCAAGTAAAAAAAAAAAAAATCTTCGTAACTCTGAAAGCCTCCGTGTGGTCAACAAGAGACACACATCATGCCCATATCATGGTCGTAACCAATCGGGGATAGTCAAGGGAGGGACCTCTCTGATTGGCTGTGGTCCAGATATTCCTGTAGGCTTACGTGTATGTACATTTGAAAGTGCAGGCTGATAGAGAGAGGTGAGTAGCCTAGGCCTGATAGAAATGGATTGAGTTGTGGGTAATGAGAAAAGATGAAAAGAACAATTGACAACTTTTTCGTTAAGTTAAGGCCTGATCTGTCTGAAATTCATAGCCAGTGCTCTGACATAGAGCCATCAACCTCTCAGGTAATGGGTAATGTCTAACACTGGTCATGAGACGGCATCAGATAATGAGCCACATACAATCGACTCCGAGCCAGAGCCCACTGAAAGTAAAAGGGGGAAAGTGTATACATTTCAAAGAGAGTGGCTTGACCAGTTTCCCTGGCTAAGATACAGTAAATCTGACAACATGATGCACTGCATTTACTGTCATGAGTGCGGAAAGAAGCTCCCTGGCAATACTGCATTTGTGGTGCTAACACGTTTTGAATTGAAATGCTGAAAAAGCACAGTGTATCCAGAAAACACATTATATGCTGCAATAAATGCATTCCCCAAGTCTCCCCTCTCCCCACTGCCAGCAGCAAACAGGTCGTCAGAGGAGGCCGAGATGATGATTAAGTTTAACATTGTCTACAATATTGCCAAAAATGAAGTTCCGTTCATTTCCAAAGTTCAAGTCCAAAATAATTCTTCACAACACCCCACGTACAGTAATAATGCCGCCCAGTATATGGGTGTCATCAGAGACATATTGAAAAAAAAAAGGGGGAAAAAAGGCCAAATTACAGGAGTTGGCCATCTCAAGGGCCTGTTACTGCAATAGTCCATGCGATAGTCCATAAGATATCAAGTTGTTCAGATGTTAATTTAGATTTTCTTTTTATTTAATATATCTTGAGATGTTTTAAGTTTAAATTTCAGTTCAGTGAAGCACTTTAAGCACCAGCACTTTTTAAGTAACTCATCTTTCTTGTAGAACTGTGCTCAAATAAAGAACTTTGTGTTGACAAGCTTGTTAGCTAATTATTTACAAAAATCAATATTGTCTGTATGGACAGCAATTTAAAAAAAAGTGAACTTGCAAAACTGCGGTGTTAAGCAATGCGGTTGAAAAATTTGGGTGCACCTAAGAAAAAAGTTAGGTGCTCCAGTGAAACCGTGGCAGTTAGTCTAGAGCCCTGAACAGTGGAAAACATATTCACACTGCCATTAACTAACAATGTTTAACAGCTGAGACATTTCTTCCACAAAATGCTCCATCTACTGTAATGTACTTACATTTTTGATTTTTGAAGCCATCCAGCTGGAAAAGTCTTCAGGTATTTTCTCACAAGTGGACTCATAATCTTCCAAAATTGTCTATAAAAAAAGGACAACAAGTTGTTTTATCCATCCACTCGCTTCCGCTTAACCTTTTCAGGGTCGCGGGGTGCGCTGGAGCCTATCCCAGCTATAGGACGAGAGGCTGGGTACACCCTGGACAGGTTGCCAGTCTGTCAGGGTTAACACACAGAGACAGACCACCATTTGCGCTCACATTCACTCCCACGGGCAATTTGGATTGATCAATTAACCTATCCCCACAAACTGCATGTCTTTGGACGGTGGGAGGAAGCCGGAGTACCCAGAGGGAACCCACGCAAACACGGGAAGAACATGCAAACTCCACACAGAAAGACCCCGGCCTTATGGTGGAATTGAACTCAGGACCTTCTTGCTGTGCGGAAACAGTGCTAACCACCGTGCCACTGTGCTATAATATAAAGTTATTTTATATTAAGTTAAATAATCATTTTGTGAAAAAAAATAGTTATTACTTGCCTGTAATCGATGGTGATCAGCACTGAGTTTTGTTTCGATGTTGAGAAGATGTAAGGCTTGCTTTGGAACCAGGAGACCCATCTTCACCAAACACTTTGCCTCCCGTATGACCTCAGTTACTTTAGGATCAAAGTTGACAACTAGCTTTTCTGTCTTTGGGTGACGAACCAGCAGTGCGACATTTAAGACTGTTGTGAACAACACAGAGAGTAAAGTCATACTAACAGAATCAGATACGGTGTGCCATCAAGGTTATCAATATATTTAATTTAAGCCAACCATGATTCATCTGCGATACTTCCTCGAGCCATGCTTGGTGGTAAATACACTCAAACTTTACTAACGAAGCTGCAGTCTGATTGTACATTTTGACTGCATTTCGTCCCTGAGGACTGAGCAGGATGTCCGAGTTTTCCTGTTTAGGATGACAGAGTGAGGCAACATTAAAATCTTTCAGTGCTAGTAGCTTTAAAATGTTTGCTGACAGAAATCTAGCCTTACTTTTATGTGTAACATGGGTTCCTCTATTTTTTTGAAGAGGTGCCTGGCCCAACCAATTCGTCCAGCCACAGGAGGCATGTCCCTAGCAAGTGGAGGGTTGTCTTTGTGGTTGCCATAGTGCTGCAAAGGAAGTTTGTAAAACAAAATCTGTGCATTTATATTTTATTTTAAATGGCATTAGCGAATAACAATAAAATAGGTACCTTTCTCACAAACTCTACTTCTGAGACATAACGCTGAAGAATATGACTCAAAAGATGGGGAACGTGTGCGTTAATGCAGGGAATGTTCAGCCTCTGGAAACTACAAATTTAAAAAAACAAAGTAATAACAAATCATTACAGTATTTAATGTTATATTTCTAATATAATATTTCCAGTGATATATTAAATTGCTTAAAATATCATATATAGACACTTACCGTTGTATCAGGTGAATGGCACGCTCAGATGTCTTCACATGTGAGAAGCATGAATTCATAAAAGTCTGCAGCTGGTTCTGTAGAAAAGGTAACAAATGTAACCTTCATTAGTACTTTATCATGTTTCAGTTGTGACCATGTCTTAATGAGTGATGTCTGTGATTAGTGGTTTTGTGTATATGTAAATTCTTTGCAGGTCTCTGAGAAAACATCATCAACCCTTATGATGCTTCCTGATTTAAACAATGCACAGGAAAACAGCAGCTACATGTTTTAGGCATAATGAGTACACAACTATACATACCTCAATGTAACAGATTTGCTCTGTAAACTTGACAAAATCTGCTTCAAATTCAGCACTCCTTGGAGCCAACATATCATACTGCTTTCTTTTCAGATTCATGGCTATAGTGTTGAACAGTCTGGCTAGACTCTCAATGCCCTCAATGTTGGACTTGTTAAGTGATTCAAATGTCTTGAACACTGTGATTATTTGTGTGATCTAGAAAAAAATAATGCTTACTGTTATATGGCAAAGCATTATGACAAGACTGACATACATATTTTAGGAATTAAAATAGACCGTACCTTTTCAAGCTGCTTGCAGAAGTTGGAAAACTTCAAAAAAATTTCCATCTCTGAAACCTCAAAAGGCCTCTTTCCAGGTGCAGCCATTGTTTCCATCTTTGTTGTCTGGAAACAAGACTTATATTCCTGGTACAAGGAGGTACAGTGCTGCAAAAGACAAAAGATTAACAACAGCAGAAACTGTGTACTGCTGTAGTCATGCCTCTGTAATAACACTGATGTGTACTAATCACAGTGTAACAGTCACCTGCACTTTTGTGATGATGCTATCAGCATCTTGGTCCCATATGAGACGTTTGCCATTGTCAGTAATGTACGATCTGCACATTGTAACCATCTGATTTGTGACCTAGAAGAGTTTTCAGTATCACATGTTGTACAAAGGGAATTGGATCTTAAATGTTTGTTCTTTGAATGAAATGAAAAAACCCAACAAAGTAAACTTACTTTGATGAACAGTGAAGATATAGTTTCACTCGTGTTGTAGTACAGTGAAACTCTGAAAATCATGTGAATAGTACTGATGACATTTTGCACATTTTTCATCATGGCAACCTGAAATGACACCAAGTATAGTCACATTATTTATAATATATTGTTTGCTCTGATATAATTTGTATTTCTTAAGTTTGTAATGAACAACTTTACTGTACAAAAATTGAACTATTAACAGGCTATTATCCATATTTATTTAAAAGAAAAAAACAGTATGTAAGATGGTCACTAATGTATAGTACATGGACTATGAATTGAATACTAGCGTTGTTTCTAAGTGAATAGTAAATAGGCAATTTTTGATCATTTTGTTGTGATGTAGTCTGGGGCAAATAAAAGACTATTTTAAAACCTGTCAAAGACCTCCTGTATTCAGTGCATAGCAATAGCTACTCAGAATTTTGCATTTGTTTGTTATTGCCTTCATTTGGTAAAAAAGACCATACTTTTCCCCCCAACACTGTTGGTTTACAGCCTGAATGCTTTACAATTTATATACATGTCTTTAAATAGCTGTGTATGCGATATAGGTGCTTTCATACTTGGCTTGTGCTTTAACATCAGTTCATCAACAAAAACACTGTTTGGCTCAGAGGTAAAACTTTATTTAATACTAAAAATTCTAACAATTGCAAGTTCTTAATGGAAAGGAATTGTTGACTGTACATACCGGGTCACTGATGTAGAGAGGTTGAAGAACTTTCTCCAGTGTGCTCAGGAATTTCACATTGTCTTTTGCCTCATTGGCACACCTTGTTATCCTAGTATCCAGCTTCCGCCACATCTACAGAGGTACATGTTTATGACAGTGATGAAGGTAACAATATATGTTGTTTATTGTAAATGTTTGTTTATTGTTAAATGTTTCAAGGAGTAATTTAAATTTCTGATTTTATCATAATTATTATTATTGTTAAATTTTTTAACATATTTTTTGTACATAAAATAGAGGCAATATCCCCTGAATTATATGGTCACGATGCAAAATACACAAATCACATTTATGGATCCATGATACATCATAGAACAGCGAAAATTAGTAATTACTGATCATTCAGGAATAATCTTACTATTATATAATTTGCATGTAATTTTTATTATATATATCAAATAGATTCAGTTTTTCATATTGCATCTATGCACACAGTGTTATAGATGCAATATGTCTGAAGGTATTCATTTTTAGATTTCGATATTGTTATTGTTATACCAAAGTTATTATTGTATAAGTGGGCCTAATGGCATCATAAAAACAGAATAATAACTAAATACTAAAATACTAAAAACTGTGTAGCACAAATTATTTTTTAGTGAGGAAAAACGCCTATTAGTGTTTGCCTCACTTTCATTGTTCATTGTTGTTTCATTGTTATGTGTGGAGGAGCTGTCTGACACCAACCTACAATAAAATGTTTCCCTTTGCTGATTTTAGAACATGAGATTTTTATTGAAAGAGTTTTATTCATTGAGCATATGTTTGAAGTGACCTACTGACTTTGCATTTTTGGACACATGTGAACAAGATTAGAAATAGGTATATCAGAGGTATATCAGAGGTGTGGTAATTAAAAAAATTATATCGTGCAACAAATAATGTTGTTACAGTATACCAGTATATACATTATACTGCCAAGTATTATCTTACATTAAACAGTGGACATAAAAAAATACTATAATAGTGTGACTGACACTGAGAATGAGTACCTTTACAGTTTTGGATCTGCTAATATGGAGCACCATCACCGCTGTCTTGCACTTTTGGCTTTTGATGTGAGTGATGATAGAGTTGAACCTTATAGACATTCCTTTCCAGTGCTCTAAGTCACTCAGTGGCCCTTCTGAATCAGCTCCTTTTCTCAGCTGATCACTCTCTATGAGGACCTGATGTACACCGAAAAGGTTACATTAATTCAGTCAGTACTCTACAGCAAGCCACTACAGCAAGTTTTTCTTTTCCTTTTTTTCCTTTTCAGTCTCTTCTTTCATTTCCTTTCTCTCATACTAACAAAATATATACCATTCATTTATGAAGTCATCATCTCTGGCCAGTAAACTGTATTCCTTGAAGCCACGGGTTCATAGGCTGCACTTCACTTGTGCGTTTGAATGATTTAACAAACCTGCTCAATTTCCTTGCACCACTGCAAAAGATTTTTTTCCAGTTGCTGGACCATCTCACAGTTGGCAGCTGCAGTTTTCATATCATTTAGGCTGGCCAGTTTAGAGAAGTCAATATGTGTGAATGTAGTCAGATGAACAATGTACTTGTTGCTTATATGGATTTCTGCAGGACAAACATAACAAAGTACAAAATTATTAAATTATTAAAACCAGCCATTTAGCTACAGTATGTTGTTCTGAAGAAGCATTTTTTTTTACCTTCTAAGGAGTCAAGACAGCGTTTTATTGTGTACATTAAGTTCTCTTTACATTTTACTCCATGTCTGGACTCTATAGTGCCCCAGTTTTGTGGTGCATCGAGAGCAGGCAGTAGAAAGTTGTAAGTGTTCCTTATTCCTTTCAGGAGGCCGTCTCTGGCATCAACTACTGCAAAAAAGATCTCCTACAAAGTATGGAGACAAGTCACCCATAACGTCATAAAAACCAAAGCCAAAACATCTGTGATATAAATCAAAGTATTTTAAACAGATTTATTTTCTACAGTACAGTTACATTGTAAATAGGTGTGGACGTCAGATTGTTTTATAATGTTAGTGAAACGGTTGGATGTCAAATGTGACCTCAAGATTTAAAAATATGTTAAGGAAGGAGGGTTAGATCATATTAGCTTTTTCCTAAACTAATACAGGGAATGCTGAAAAGTGACAAGTTTATTATGTGATGTTTATTATGTGAACACAAGAATTATTATGTGAACACAAGAATTATTATGTGGATGCAAGAATTTCTCCGCCATGGGATCAATAAAGCCTTATCTTATCTTACATAAACTGCTCAAAAAATAAAAGGAACACAAGAATAAGACATCCCAGATCTGAATGAATTAAATATTCTTATTAAATACTTTGTTTTTTAGTAGTTGAATGTGCTCAAAAATCACACAAAAATTATCAATGGAAATCAGATCACGCTCAACATTAAAGTGGAAAAACACACAACAAGCTGATCCAACTTTGATGTACTGTCCTTAAAACAAGTCAAAATGAGGCTCAGTAGTGTGTGTGTGGCCTCCACGTGCGTGTATGATCTCCTTACAACGCCTGCGCATGCTCCTGATGAGGTGGCGGATGGTCTCCTCAGAAAGTTCTTCCTAGACCTGGACTAAAGAACCCGCCAACTCCTGGACATTCTGGGGTAGATGGAACGAGACATGATGTCCCAGATGTGCTCAATTGGATTCAGGTCTGGGGAACGGGCGGGCCAGTCCATAGCATCAGTGCCTTCATCTTGCAGGAACTGCTGACATCCACATGAGGTCTAGCATTGTCTTGCATTAGGAGAAACCGGCATATGGTCTCACAAGGGGTCTGAGGTTCTCATCTCGCTACCTAATGGCAGTCAGGCTACCACTGGCGAGCGCATGGAGGGCTGTACGGCCCCCCCAAAGAAATGCCACCCCACACCATTAGTGGCCCACTGCCAATGGAGTCTGTTTCTGACTGTTTGAGCAGACACATGCACATTTGTGGCTTGCTGGAGGTCATTTTTTAGGGCTCTAGCAGTGCTCCTCATGCTCCTCCATGCACAAAGGTGGAGATAGCGGTCCTGCTGTTGGGTCTGTGGTCATCACCTGCAGAACCACTCCTTTATTGGGGATGTCTTGCTAATTGCCTATAATTTCCACCTGTTGTCTATTCCATTTCTACAACAGCATGTGAAATTGATCGTCAGTAAATGTTGCTTCCTAAGTGGACAGTTTGATTTCACAGAAGTGTGATCGACTTGGAATTACAATGTTTTGTAAAAGTGTTCCCTTTATTTTTCTGAGCAGTGAACACAAAGACATATAAAATGCACACTTAGGTTTTTAAAAATAATTTCCAACCCAGATCCTAAATCATGTCTGTATGTCCAATGAAAACTACCATATTGCTGTCCTGTGAATTTAAAACACTTTATTGTGTGTTTAAATTGGATTTTTTTCACAGATAAACCATTTTCTTTCAGCATATAAAGAAAATTCTGACATCCGCTTGGAAGTGAGTGGGACTTTTATTTGATATGTTTTATATGTTCTATTGTGAATAAAGTATGGGCTTATGAAACTAATGAGATTATGATTTCTGTTTAATTTACATTTTACACACTGTCCCAACCTTTTTAGAACTGGAATGGTTATAAAATCACATATCTATATTATATATATGGTTGTTAGGTTGTTAGATATGATTTTATAACGATTTATATGGAAAAAATTGTACATTTTGTTTAAATTTATATTAAAAAAATATTAGTTTTTTTTATACCATTCCGATTCTAAAATGGTTTGGACAAATGTAAATAAAAACACAAATCATAATATTATTAGACAGTATCTCACAAAAGTGAGCACACCGCTCACATTTTTAAAAAATATTTTGTCATATCTTTTCATGGGACAGCATTGAAGATATGACACTTTGATACAACGTAAAGTAGTCAGTGTACAACTTGTACAACAGTGTAAATTTCCTGTCCCCTTTAAATCAACACACAGTCATTATTGTCTAAACCTCTGGCAACAAAAGTGAATACACCGCTAAGTGAAAATGTCCAAATTGTGCCCAATTTGCCATTTTCCCTTCCTAGTGTCTCAGGTGCAAATCGGAAGGTGTGTTGAATTTGGTGTTCAATCCAACTTTATTGATAAAGTACTTTAAAAACAACATGATTGACTAAAGTGCTTCCCAGTAAAAAACAGTAATAAAAGTTAAAAACCATACATTAAACAGACAAAGAAAATTAATTAAGTGTAAAATAAATGAATGAATGAAAAAAAGATCAAATAAATCGGTAAATATTGAAACGTGAATAAAACAGACAATATAATAGACAATAAAGAAAACTAACAAAGTAAAGAAGATTAAAAGCAACCCAAAACTGATTAAAACTGACTACAAGCTGACTCTGGTACTACAACAAGAAAGCCCGCAAACAGTTTGCTGAAAACAAGCAGACTAAGGACATGGATTAATTGTGATCTGATGAGACCAAGACAAACTTATTTTGTTCACATGGTGTCAAGGATGTGTGGCGGCAACCAGGTGAGGAGTACAAACACAAGTGTGTCTTGCCTACAGTCAAGCATGGTGGTGGGATGTCACTGTTTGGAGCTGCATGAGTGCTGCTTGCACGGAGGAGCTACAGCTAATTGAAGGAACCATGAACCATGTACTGCGACATACTGAAGCAGAACATGATCCCCTCCCTTCAGAAACTGAGCCACAGGACAGCATTCTAACATGATAACATCCACCCATCTCCATGATGTCATCATGGAGGGGTGGAAGAGGATTTCAGTGGCACCCTGTGAAGCTCTAGTGATCTCCATTCCCAACAGAGTTAAAGCAGTGTTGGGATGGCCACACAAAATATTGACACTTTGGGCACAATTTGGACATTTTCACCGAGGGGTGTACTCACTTTAGTTGCCAGCGGTTTAGACATTAATGGTTGTATGTTGAGTTATTTTGAGGTGGCAGCAAATGTATACTCTTATACAAGCTGTACACCGAGTACTTTACATTGTATCAAAGTGTCATATCTTTAATGTTGTCCCATGAAAAGATACAATAAAATATTTACAAAAATGTGAGGGGTGTACTCACTTTTGTGAGATACTGTATATGGATATTTTAATTATATAATAGTTATAGAAACAAACCACCATACAAATTCAGTACCCTCTTACCTCATGTACGTTTTCAGAATTCACAGCTATGTCCTCTCTTGTCCGTATAAAGTAGCAGCAAATACCTGTCAGGGATATTTGGGACAAATCGGGCATAAACAGCCTCAGTGTTTTTTCTCCTTTTACAGCACCAGGATATGAGCGACCACACTCTGCAATAAAATATAAATAATTTTGGAAGAAAATTAAAAAATGAAAATGACACATAAAACAGATCTTAATTTTTTCTGCTAAAACTAGGATATTTCACCAGCACAGGGATAAAATCATTAATGATCACATGAACTTGGTAAAAACTCCAATTATGACTGGCCTTGAAAATCAGAAAAGTAAAATACTCTAATCTTAGTTTGTTTTAAATTAGTGGTCAGTATTACTTAGTATGAAATAAAAAAAATAAGCAGGATAACATGTGACAGTCAAATACTGGAGTCGAGATTTATTCCAACCTGGTCCTGGCGCTGCAGATTCTTGATACACAAAGGAAATGGTTTTGCAACCTCCTTCGGCAAAAAACTGATCAAAAGCAGCCAGCTATTCATGATAAAGAAGGAAAAAGAAAGACAAAAAATTGTGAAATGAAAAATGTGTAACTGTATAATATCAGATGTGTTTAAACCATAATTGCCATATCAACATAGACAATATAACATGTGAAATGAATGAGATGTTTTGACTTTTGCGTGTTCCAGTTGTACTTGCAGCAGCCAAAATATACACTTCTGATTATGATATTTTTTGCTTTTGATATTTTGCTTCCAAGGAGCCAAATGCTCATGTATTTTTTTAAGGTTGCCTTGAGCAATAGTTCTCCAGACTTTCTGAAAGTCTTTTCAAAGTTTTTCTGTTGACATTGACTGTCTTCTCTAGTCAAGTCCTTGCATCAGACCATTTTCCGAGAAACGATTTCTTTGTTTGTTGATCCCTGACCTATGAATCACTAAAGGGTAAAAGACTTAACTCAGTGGATGAACCAGGACTGTGTCTATACATAATAGACGACTTAGACGACATAAAGAACCGATTTAAAATTGTATGTTTTGTTATTATCAGCCTGTCCAAAAACACATAATTTTTGGACAAGGTTTGACAAGGATACAATATTTTTTTGCACCACCTATTTGATTCTCAGTGAACTATTAACTGAAAACTTGGTCCTTCAGTTAATCTATCTATTTTTCACTGAAGCCTCAACAGAAATGGGATCAGTAGAAGGATGGCTGTCAAGAAGCTATTCTTAATTAAAGGAAACAGGGAAGAAAAGGCTAAGGTACGCAAAATTACACAAAAACTGCTCTGAAAATCAGTGGCAATAGGTTTTACAGAGTGATGAATGATAAATATGAAATGATTAAAACTGTTGTTAGTATCTACGGCAATCAGGAGAGCGGTACAACGGTGAGTGTCCACAACCTGTATAACACGGTGCAGGCTTTGCTATTATTTGGGCATACAGTCAGTGGTGTCGGGATCAAAATTGATGGAATTATAAACACAGAAAAGTAATCTCTGATTGCTGCCATGCAATATCATCAGAAAAGTGATTGACAGTGGCTTCTTTTTTCAGTATATCAATCATCCTAAATACACTGCCAGTGCAATAAAAGTATATCCGGATAGAATTTTGAACATACTTTGTCAAAGTATATGGGAAAAACTCACAGAAGACGAATCTAAAATAAACTCCTCTACATCTGTTGGCGATAGGGCCAGTCTCTCAGCCAAGATGTCAATGATATACTTGTGTGCAGGGGTGAGGAGCTTTTTTCGCTCTTCTCTTGCCTCCTTATATTTGGCCTGAGAAATACAATAGATGTTAATTGTAGTAATTGTAACTGCTCTGACAACAAAAGTGGTTGATGTCAGTAAGGTTTCATTAAACCCATTATCAATTTACCTGACATCCAGCCTCGTTTGTATTTTGGCTAACTTCTTCCATCGTATTGTTTGGCAGGAGGACTCGCCTCCTTGATGTTTGAAAAACTCAGTGACTCTTCAACTTATTCTGCCTGGAGAAAAAAAAATTAATGAAATGTTATGAAAATCAATAACTAACTAACTCCAAAGTAGAACACAGTGAAAAAGTATTTGCCTCTTCCTCTTTTTTTTTTGCATATTTGTCACATTTTCATGTTTCAGGCCATCAAAGATTTTTAATATTAGACAAAGATAACCCGTGTAAATATACAAAGCAGTTTTTAAATTATTTTATAATTTATTAATAGAAAAAGCTATCCAAACTTCATTTTGTGGAAAGCTTAGATCAATTTCACTAGTTCCTCCCAGGCCTGCTTACTGTCAGACCATTTGAATCATTTCCATTTAAGAATCTGTCTGACAAAGATGAGATAAGATAAGATAAGATAAGATAAGATAAGATAAGATAAGATAAGATAAGATAAACCATTTTTAGTCCCACACGTGGGAAACTTTTTGGTTACAACAGAGAGTACGTTTAAGTTTAAGAGCAGTATAAGTTAAGAAAAACACAACAGAATAGGATAAGATAACCTAGAATAACATACTATACAACAACAGTAAAGTACTATATACAATAGAATAAAGTGAATTTGGCTAAAAGATATCAAAAAAAGCAAGATATCACTGACATCTGTCAGTCTGAAATGGGTTACAAAGCCATTTTTAAGGTTGTTTTTTCTTCTTCTTAACTTTAGTGAGATTCATTATCCACAAATGGAGAAAACTTAGAACAGTGGGGAACCTTTCAAGGAGTGGCGGGCACAGCAAATTAGTTCAAGACCTCACTTGCTTCAGGCAGGGTCAGGGTCAATAATAACAAAGAGACTGAACAAAAATGGCACCTATGGAAGAGTTTCAATGAAAAAAAACCCACCGCTGACCACAAGAACACAAAGGCTTGTCTCACATTTACCAAACAAAAAAAAACAAACAAACGACACAAACATTAAAAAAAAAACATCCTGAAGAGCCACAAGACTCTTGTAAAATACATAGTACATTTTTTTGAAGGTTTGTGTCTCATTACATCTGACATAAAACTAATGTAGCACCATTAAAGGAAAATCACACACACTTGGTGGTGGTAGTGTGATGGTCTAGGGCTGAGCAAAGTATTAATTAAAATTGTATCAGTAAAACAGAACTGTTTTTCAATCAAAGTGGCACTGAAGATAATATAATTAATAAAACGTTCTTCTTTCTTTAGTCTTTTAGCTTTACTGCCATCTGAACGAGCTAACTGGATTATTTATTACAAGTTGGAGACTTGTTATCGAGGTCATATCTTACTTATATAATTCTAACCTTTGATATATATATATATATATTCTGCCCTTACCAAAGCGTGGTCATTCGAGAAATGGTAGCTTTCTGTTGGGCACATGTTTGTGCCAGTTTTGTTTTAAGTAAAAAATAGTATTTTGTTTCCCGTTTTACAATCGTGGAAATCACTTCCAAGTCCTGCAGTCGTTATGAGCCGTTACTGATACCTGCTGTTAACGCAACAGTTGAAACGAGGTGTCACGAGCCCAACCGTTACCACACGTTATAAATGTTAATATTCACAGTAAACGTAAAACACATTCTCAAAGCGTTTTTCATAGTTTGGGGGGACTTCTTGTAGTCGTATTGCTGACCGTCCTCTTGAAACACATCAGATAAATAAACATTCACAAGACAGTCATTACTTTACACTCTTTATTTGTTATTACCACCCTCTACAGGGTGGTTCCCGCACCAACACGACCGACATAACTCAAACAACAACTGATCTTGGACCAGGCTACGGACAGGACATATGTTTCGTGGTCTACTGTGATTGGTCCAGCCACACCGTCTGTTTGTCCAATAGCGGGTAGACATCTGTTCGCTGGAGCAACTCTAAAATATTCCCCTCTCTTCCTCCTGCACAGTCTTTTTGCTGTCCTGCCCGGCGACGCTCCTGCAGAGCTGCTGAAAGTTGAGCTGAAAATGGGGAAAATGCAAGTCTTAGGAGTAATTGCAGTAATATTAGCAGTGTACTGTGTACATGCGAAGATTTACTTTCGGGAAGAGTTTCTGGATGGTGGTAAGTTGTGCAGAGAATTTTTATAACTTTGCAAGGTTAGCACTTCACTGCCTGTTAGCTTGACTTTCAGACATCGTTGTGTCACAAAAATTGTTGTCTAGACTGTGAGTCCTCTCAAAAATATCACCTTTCCCCGTTAAATAATCAAAAGTCCATTGATAATTGGCAACATTCATTAAGGTCGAAGGGAGCAGACGTAATATCGATATCAGTTAATAATCGTCGTCCAAGTTGCAGTTAGTGAAACTAAATTTCGACATTGACAATTTGTCGTCGCATCTACAATTACTGGGAAATTGTGAGACGATTTTCATGACGTACCATGCTCTATTGGCCCGGTAGTGTTAATCCTCAGCAAACTTACTGGTTGTTTTCTGAACAGATGAATGGAGAAGTCGCTGGGTGAACTCCAAGCACAAGTCAGACTACGGAGAGTGGAAGCTCACGGCTGGCGACTTCTATGGCGATGCAGAGAAAGACAAAGGTACATGTTCGGACTTTCTAATGTAAATCTTCATTACAAAGTTTTCTTTTGATCAAAATAGCGTTTACTGTTGTCCAAATGGCAGCAAGGCACTTGACATTTAATGTGTTCCTGTTTAAAAAAAAAAAAAAAAAAAAAAAAAAAAATTCTATTCTAGAAGTGAAAATGAGTCATTTGATCATAATAAGCAGTAGTAATGTCTCGAATAGCTCCTACAAAGTGCCCTCATGTCTGATTTCCATTATGGTTCCTACTTTATGTTTGTTTAAAGCTGAACAAAATATATTTAGTTTTGGTTTGATACTTTCATTTTCAGGTCTGCAGACAAGCCAGGATGCACGTTTCTATGCGGCCTCTGCCCGTTTTGATTCTTTCAGCAATGAGGGTAAGCCTTTGGTCATCCAGTTTACAGTCAAGCATGAGCAGAAAATCGACTGTGGTGGTGGCTACGTGAAGGTCTTTCCTGCGGACTTGGAGCAGACTGAAATGCATGGAGAATCCTCTTACTACATTATGTTTGGTAAGTAATAATGACCTGTGTGATTTACAGTGCTTCCAGCTGTCACTGGATTTGATACGTGTAATAATTAATTTTATTCCTTTCCCCTAGGCCCTGACATTTGTGGCTACAGCACCAAGAAAGTTCATGTAATTTTTAATTACAAAGGCAAGAATAATCTCATTAAGAAAGAGATTAAATGCAAGGTAATTCTTGTGTTTTGAAGTCCATATTTTTAAATGGAAACCTGCTTCTGCACCAAAGGCTTTAGTCTAAACCCTGCTTCTTTTTTTTGTTTTGCTTTTTCTTTCTAGGATGATGAGCTGACCCACCTGTACACACTAATCCTGAATCCAGATCAAACCTATGAAGTAAAAATCGATAATGAGAAGGTGGAATCTGGGAGTCTGGAGGATGATTGGGACTTTCTGCCTCCTAAGAAAATTAAGGACCCTGAAGCCAAGAAGCCAGAGGATTGGGATGACCGTGCCAAGATTGATGATCCTAGTGACGCAAAGCCTGAGGTGAGTAAACTCAGTACAGTCATTCTACCACCTCTTACTTTGCTCTGTGCAAATAGTTGTGTATTTTAACCTCAGTATTTTGTGTTTTTTCTCTAGGACTGGGACAAGCCCGAGAATATTCCAGATCCTGATGCTAAAAAGCCTGAAGACTGGGATGAGGATATGGACGGAGAGTGGGAGCCACCCATGATCCCCAACCCAGAGTACAAAGTAGGCTAGAAATTGATCACCAAAATACTTTAATATTAATATATAAAATACTTAAAATGCTTTTAAATTGCATTACTGATAACCCTTTTTAACTTCCTGTATTTCAGGGAGAATGGAAGCCCAAGCAGATTGATAACCCCAACTACAAAGGAGCCTGGGTGCATCCTGAAATTGACAATCCTGAATACAGCCCAGACTCGAACATCTACAAGTTTGACAACATTGGTGTTTTGGGTCTTGATCTTTGGCAGGTGAGACACGGTTCATCTTTAAGGTATGTGGTAGCGGCAGTTGAGCTACAGTCTAACAGTTTTGGTTTTCCCCCCTTCCTCCTCAGGTGAAATCTGGTACAATCTTTGACAACTTCCTGATTACAGATGACGTGAAAGAGGCAGAAGAGATTGGAAAGGAGACATGGGGTGTGACAAAGGTCTGGCCTTATTCTTTTTAACTCATAACTTGTTGTTCATGCAAAGCACAAAGTCTGCCCCTATGAACTACTGCTGTGATTAAAAGACTTGATTTTTTGTTGTTGTTGTTGTTTGTGATTCCTTACAGGAGCCAGAGAGAAAAATGAAACAGGAGCAAGATGACCTGAAACGAAAAGAGGAGGAGGAGAAGAACAAAGAGCAGGACACTGAAGCTGCTGATGATGAAGATGAAGAAGAAGAAGAAGAGGAGGAGGAGGAAGAAGAAGAAACGAAAGAAGACACAGACGAGGCACTTTCAGAAACAGATGAAGAAGAAGGAAAGCTTAAAGATGAGCTTTGAAGGGTTGTTGGCATAGAATTTCTTTGTTTTTTTTTTTTGTTTTTTCCCTTTTTTGGGGGTGGGTGTGCTCCCTCAGGAACTGTCCTATATTTCCCAGGGGTATTGTGGCTGCTGTGCATCCTTTCCCTGAGATTTGGACACAACCCAGCTAAAGGGTGATTTGCAGTAGATTGGAAGGGGGTGGGGGGCAAATGGTTTGTAACATACTTGGGGTCTTTCATTTTGATCTTAACCCTGAACTGCTGGATTAATTCTAAGGTTTTCCACTCAAAGTACATTCTTTATTTTGTAATAACAGATAATAACTATAAACCGTCACCTGCTGTTTGCTAGATTTTTTTTTTTTTTTTTTTTTTTTTTTTTTTTTTTTTTTTTGATTCTCTTAAACTAGACCACAGACTGTATATAAGATTAATCTATGCAGTCTGTGGTCTGCATGTCTACTTTTTTGCAAATACCCTCTCTTTTTTTTTTCTCTCTTTTTTTCTTTTAGGGTGTTTGAAAGAGCTGAAAATGTAGTAATTATATTAAATTAAGAACATCAGCCGCTCAGATTTCAACGTTAACTCTGAAACAGAACATACAAAGCATAAACCAAAAGTTGTGACCATAAAAAAAAGAAAAAGAAAATATGTGAAGAGACAAATCAATACTATGATGACTTCTTTTGGTTATGTATGCAGCACTGTCTTTTTCTTTTGTCCCCACACTCTGAATTGAATTAATTGATTAGGAATGAATTGATGGGACCTGCATCATATTTTGAAAGTCTGGACAAACCGGTGGTGAGCCCCTGTGTGTGTCTTATTTTTATGGGACAGAATGTTATTGATACCAAAGTTTTTATTAAAAGATTATAACCTTATTGTCCACTGATATTTTGTGTGTGAGAGTTCACAATTTAGAAGCACTGCTTGTGGTTTAGATGTAAATTAGTGGACTCCATGCCAACTGTTTCAAAAAGGAATGTCAAATGAAGTTTCATTTCCTCTATCTGTGAATAAAACTCTCCTAAAGATTCAATTCAATCAATTAAGAAGTTTGTTTATATCCAAGCTTGGTATGAATAAATATACTTTTTTTTTTTTTTTTACAGAAAAAGCTGGAAATTTTAAAAAAACACTGTCAAATGCATACTATTTTTTTCCTTATTGTTTCACCCAAGAGCAATAGATAAAATATTCATACTGTGAAAGTCACTTCATGTCAAGGAGACCATACATGTTAATGATATCTAGTGCCTGCTTCATTATATCTTCCCCAGAAAAAATTCTGGACAAGTATAGAAAACGCTAGTATTTGGGGGCCTGTAATCCATGTGTCTTTGGGTTAACTACAATTACACTTCACCTAAGAAAAAAAATATATATATATGTGTGTGTGTGTGTGGGTTCTGAAATGTAGTTCACAAATAGCCATGGAAATTATCTGGTGTGAACTTAAAAACTGAAAACAAAATGTGTTTGTAAAAACAACAGAAACATAAGTCTTCATAAAATTTGCCTGTTTGTATGATTTTTTGGTGTACCACATCTCGGAAAAATGAATGTGGGACTAAGGGACATCTGAAAAATTAAAACATAATTGAAACTATTTAGCGTCAATCCAGTGACTGCATTAAACTGAATGTTTTTCTAATTCATTAGAGACCTTAAAGGACACTAAAGCTTGGATTTATGGGCTTTATCCACTCGTGTATGTCTTAAATTTCTGTAAAACAGTTATTTGGGGTTTTAATAGAGACGCAGCAGCGACGTCATCCCTGTAAGACCCACGTGTTGTCTGCAGCCAATGAAAATGTAAGACGTTGTAGGACCGGTGTTCTGACAAAACCCCGGCACTAGGGGTTAAAAAATGCCGTGCAGTCCCAAGTAAAGTTGGACACCTGCTGACCACACATGCAAACCATCCCAGGCATGAAAACCTCATTTCATTTTAATAGGATTCAAATTTGCGCAGTTGCTCTGCAGCTCTGACAAGGGCGCGGTGTCCACACCCACCGGAACCGCGGTCCCCGCCGGTCCCCAGGCGCTCGCGCCCGCTCCCTTTAAGGACTCTGTGCGCACTCCCGAGACACCAGGAGATATGGCGGCGTTCATGACTCTGAGTCAGGTAACAACTCCAAACAGCTCAAGAAAAGTAATAAAATTTATTAGAAAGCGTTAACATCTGACAGCGACAGCGGTTATGTGATCTGACTGCTTTAGGTCTTCATAAGATAGGATGAATATAAACTACTGTGAACGCTTTATTAAGCTTTCGCTGTCAACTAAGTTGACAGGGTTAGCTAGGTTAGGATAGCAAAGTTAGTGTACGCTTTAAAGGATAAGGAAAGCGACTGCTGGCGAAGACAGTAATGAAGCTAGTGTAGAGTGTGGTGTTGTTGAAAACAAAACACGGCTAAGTGGCAACTAAAAAAAAAAAGATGGCCTTTACTTTATGAACTAACTATGTTGGAAGTTTGTTGCCATTGAAATTAGCCATTCGTTTTCTAGCAACTTAATTTAGTATATTTGATGCTTAATACACATTCATTTGTAATTTGTTTCCTTTAGTTATCAAGTGGAAACCCAGTTTATGAAAACTACTACAGACTGGTAAGGTCTACGTTGTTTGCTGTTGCTCCCCACCTCACTTCAGATCATTTACTGTGCATTCATCTCTGTATGATCTTTTATGTAACCCCATTCTTAAAGACACTTCTGTCCTCTGTATCCTCCTGGTAATTTCCTCATGATTCTTTATAGCTCGACCCAGGAAACACAGGCAAAATATCAGCTGGCGATGCAGCTCAGTTTCTTAAGAAGTCTGGCCTGTCAGACAGCACACTGGGAAAGGTGGGTAACAGTGTCACCTACATGTACACACAACACACAGTCATGTATTTGACCTAACTAAAATCTTGTACCTTTGCATTTATTTATGTACGTATTTTAGATTTGGGATTTGGCAGATTCAGAAAGAAAAGGCTATTTGGACAAGCGGGTAACGCAGAATTTCTTTGTAAATTTGATGGTATTGTCGTGCTGATACATGCAGAAAAAACAGGATTTGTTCTGCTTTCTTCCTCTTTTTTTTTTCTTTTTTTCTTTTTTTTTTTTAGGGTTTCTTCATAGCTTTGAGGCTGGTGGCATCTGCGCAGGGTGGAAATGACATAAGTCTTCACAATCTCAACCAAAACTTAGCTGCACCCAAATTTGTAAGTTATAATTACAATTAATAATGATAATTATAAATAACTCCAAAGAACTGAATTAATCAATAATGTTATGGGAATTATTTCTGTGGATCATATGAAAACTTCATTATTTAGTGTCTTAGAAAATGATAAGTTGATGCATTTCATTTCACTCTATTTCTTCTTTTTTTCTTATAGAAAGATACAAGCAGCCCATTACTAACTGTTTCAACAACAGCATCTGATTCACAGTGGGCCATTAAGGTAAAATGTTATAAGGTTTCAAGAACTGTCATGAGGATATCACAGAAAAATGGGCTTGTCACTTAAACTTGAGTTGTTGTTGTTGTTGTTGTTGTTGTTTTTTTCTTTATTTCCCAGCCTGATGAAAAGGGAAAGTTTGAGGGAATTTTTGAGAGTCTGTTACCTGTGAATGGCCTCCTCTCTGGTGATAAAGTCAGGCCAGTTTTGATAAACTCCAAGCTACCTCTGGATGTGTTAGGAAAGGTGATGTTACATGTCAAGTACTACTATGCAGCCTTTTTTTTTTTTTTGTAATTTTAACAGTTTGTTAAAATTGAGCACTTACTCATTGTTTGTGCAGATTTGGGACCTAAGTGATGTGGACAAAGATGGACACTTGGACAAAGAAGAATTCACCGTGGTAAACTGTGATTCTGTACTGACATATTATCTGGGTTCCCTTCTTTATTTGTATTAATTGGTTATACTTTCCATTTTACAGGCTTTGCATCTTGTGTATCGCACCATGGAGAAGGAGCCGCTCCCCACTAGTTTACCCGCTTCCCTTATCCCCCCTTCTAAGAGGAAGAAGACTGGGGTTGGACTTCCAGGTGCTGTTCCTGTGCTGCCTGCTCTGTCTGGCCTTGGAACTGGTCCAGCTCTTCTCAAAGAAACTTTACGCAGCACTTCTCCTCTGGTCAACACTACTCCCCTCGGCACTGCTGCTCTTTTTGGCTCCGGTGCTGCCAACCTTTCTCCAAAACAGTCATTTAAGTCCAGTTCTCCGGTATGTTGCCTCACATTGCTTGTGTGGACAGTATTATTAGTCGAAGATGCGCAAATGCCTCTTTATGGCCGTTGAGTCATGTGATTAAACCTAATATATAATATCAATGTAATGGACAGCACAGCGATGTTGCTTCAAAAAGTTTCTGGGTTTGGACCTCCTAGGGTTGGTCTTTGCGGAGGTTGCATGTTGTACCTTTACCTTCATAAGTGTTTGAGTCCTCCAGTTTCCTCCCACAGTCCAAAGAGAAACATATTGTGTCAATTGATGATTTTAAATTGGATATGTGCATACAATTGAAGCACATAATAAAGTGCTCTCTGAAGCTGATGTTGGTGGAAAGCACTTTAAATGATCATATCACATATGACCATGCATTTCAAACGAATGGTCACATGACTATTCGTTTGATGTAATGAGGGAAAATCACTACATTTGTTTATTTTATTTTTTTTCTTGGTTCTCTCTACGTGTCACAAGGGCAGATTCTTAACTCTTAAACAAGCTAGGTTGCCATGTATTAACTGTCTTTTGTTGCAAATGGGTAGACTTGTTTTGCCACATTGTTCTGAGCATTGTTCAAAGGCCAACCTCTCTCTACCAGGATACAGCTTCAGGGATTTCAGTTTTGGAGAAACAGGTTTTCTTGAAAGTAACGAGTAGCAATACTTGTACTACCTTTGTACCTTGACCACTTGATCAGTTGTTATGTTGTTCTGTCTTTTTTTTTTTTTTTTTTAATTCATGGCCCTTTCTGCTTCTTTAAACGCTTTATTTTATATTTTGTTTTTTAATAGTTTGTTTTTTTGACAGAAATAAAATGCAAGGTATGCATTTCATCTTGCATTTTTTTGCATATATTTTTTGTATTTTTTATTAGCTTGATTAGTTACAGTTTTAATGTATTGTGTATGTTATACAGTTGTGTGAATGTTTGTGATAGGGCAGTGAGAAAGCATCCTACAAATGCAGTTCCATCTAGCTGAGGACTGTGTTTTTTTTGGGGGGGGGTTTTGTTTTTACTGATCTGTTTTAACCATTTCATTGTGCAGATTCACAAATTCCTCTTGTTGCGTGAAGTACACCTGTCTGCACCGAAGAAGAACTGTGTGTTTGTTGTATACTGAATGCTGTGTTCATCATTTCATATCACACAATGTCTTCTGTTGTCTCTAGCCGGCGGTGAACTGGGTTGTACCAGTGGCTGACAGAGAGAAATATAAAGAAATTTTCAAGAACACGGACACTGACAATGACGGCCTCGTCAACGGCGGCGATGTCATCGAGCTCTTCATGAATTGTACGCTCTCCCAGACGATGCTCGCACAGATATGGTAAGACCACAGCTCAGACATATTTAGAGATTTTGTTTGTTGGGGCTTTTCTTTTTTTTTTTTGTATGTTGTGAATAACATGTTCCCAAAGCACTACAGTGTAAGAAAACACAAGCAAATTACATTTTCTTCATTACACTTTCACAGTGGCTTTTAAAATACAATAATTCATATATGGTTGAAGTGCAGACTTTCAGTTTTCATTCATAAGGGAATCAATAAAAGTATTACATTAATCATTATTAGGATAAAAATCCTTTACAGTTAATGACTGCCTGAAGTCTAGAACACATGGGCATTGCCATATACTGTCTCTCCTACATTGAAAACCTCCGCCAGGCCTTTACTGCAGCCACCCTTAGTTGCTGCTTGTTTGTGGCTCTCTATGCCTTAAGTTTCGTCTTCAGTTACTGAAAAGCATACTCTGTTGGGTTGAGATCAGGTGACTCACGTGGCCATCAAAGAATATCCGATTTCTTGCCCTTGAGAAACTATTCGGGCTCTTTTGCAGTTTGTGTTGCGTTATTATCCATTTGCACTGGGCACTGTGTTGCTTACACATTCATAAAGGTGTTTGATTGTATGTGTACCTCCTGGAGAGTGTTCTTGATTTGGTTATATGAAAAATGATGGGTCATTTCTCATAACCATAGAAATAATTCTGTCATCATGAACTTCGGGTGTTCCTGAGCTTTCATTAGCATTTCTTCTTATTAGGAGAGAACAAGTTTGTGGATTTGACCAGTCCTAAAATTGTTGCTATCTCTCTGATAGGTTTATCTGGGTTTTTATCTTAACGTGTACATTTAAAATCCACTGTGTTGGTGTCACAAAAACTGTTTCATTGTTCAAAAAGTTATAGACTTAACTCTTTTTGTTGCCATTGTGTTAAATTGGTGAAGATGTCAACATTTTCATACATTTTTACACTTCGTCCTGTTTTGATTCGATTCAGTTTTGACTCGGTCAGAAATATTATAATTCTGATAATTCCTCTTGGATGTATACTGTTGAATGAACTCTCTAAACATTGTAAGTTAAAAATGCATCATTCCAAATTATTTGACTATTTCTGTGCAATTACGAAGGAGGTAAAAAAACAAACAAACAAACAAAAAACCCCAGAACTGACACGTGTGAGACGTTATCAGAGGTGTAAGCATCACAGCAGATGCCTTTGTGTCAAAGTAACTGAGGATAAAACAGAGAAAAATGTGAAGGAGATTTTCCAGGCCTGATCTTTTATAGCATATAACCCCCCTGAAAATATGCTGCAGTAGATCAAAAACTAAAGAAAACCACGAATCAACATGTGGACATTACCTGTACAAAGACTGATGCTGCTGAAGCAGAACAGAGCAAAGTTTCAGCGGTTTTATCGCTGTCGGAGGTTATTTTGGGGAGAGAAAAAATCAGAAGCTGACAACAATGTATACAACAGACTGGTGCATAATAGGCAAGTGAGTAATGCAGAAAATAGTTTTTTAATGGGAAACTGGTCTTGAAGTATAGAAGTATATTGGGCAGAGAGTGACGAAGCCTGCAGTTCAGAATCTGTCAGATGTCGGCTTTCAGCACCCGACATGTCCATGTACGAGCTGTCGGGTTAACGACGCTTTGTTTACATCTTTTTGCAAAATCCGTTTACCTGCTCTTTAATCATTTGCTGTTTTAGCTGTTTGGCAATTGTTGAAAAGTTTTTGTGAGCTTTTAGCGGAGGTTCTGGCTTTTATGGCAAAATACATTTATATTTAAAAATTAATTTTAAATGAATCAATACCAGATTATTCAAATTAAAGTCGATTTGAACGGGAAGTCGATTTTTTTTCTTCTCTTTTTTAAAAATGCAAACATAGTCAGGAGGATTCTCCCAGATAAAGCTATATAGCACCATCTTGTGGCCACTTAAAATTAGATTCAAGAAGTTTATTGTCATATACACTGCAAAACACAAATGGTTACAATGAGCAATGAAATTCTTACTTTGCAAGTTCCCTTCACACATCTAAATACACAACTAACTAAAAAATAAAATAAACCTAAGAATAGAAAATAATAAAGTAAATTGAATGCTGTGTACGCAAGAGTAGGGTGTAGTTACAATTTTAAAAGGCAGTGCAAATATTAAAATTGTTTATATTGTATGAAGTTGTATTATAGTGTATATAAATGTTCAAATCATCTGAGTTCAACCAAATGACTACATTTGGTCTAGAGAAGTGGAACAGAAGTGTTTTGTTTTTTTTTAATGATTTAAAGGATGCTCACTTAACCAGCATAAAATGGACCATTTGTCCGTGGTAACCACTCAGTGGGGATTTATATTTGTAAAAATTGCTGATATTATTGCTCAGAAGTATGTAATAGGGTGAGAAAAATGTCTCCTCTTCCTCCATAGGGGACTTGCTGACACAAAACAAACAGGCAAGCTGAACGAGGAGCAGTTTGCTCTAGCCATGCATTTGATCCAACAAAAGGTCAATAAAGGCATCGACCCTCCCTCTGCTCTCACTCCTGACATGATCCCTCCATCAGAACGATCTGCATCATCAGCTATGGGCTTTGTGAGTTCTGCCTATACCATATTCCAACCACTTCTTCATCTGTCGGTTTGCCAGTTTATTACAATTTCTTTCTTTTTTTTTTTCTTTTTCTTTTTTTTAACAAAGTGCTTATTAAAAATTGCCTTCTGTGAGACCAGAACTTGGTTTCTTTTTTTAAGGTGCACATTGTGAGTAGTTGGGCCTTTGCCACAAGGTGGCGCTCTTGTTCTATTATATTCTCTCTCTCTGTTCCAAAGAGAAGGTGAACAATAATATGGGAACATTTAAAGTGCTGCCACCTGCTGTCATCATCACTGGCTTGACATTTTTTGATCTTCAAGGAAACGCAGCATAAGAGAATACAAATTCTATTATATTAAAGAGGATATAATAGAACAAATAATTTTTAATATGAGTAGTGAAATGGGGCCACTGTTAAGTGGGGAATCAAGTAAACCAGCATGTAACCTTTTATTTAAATTTATCTGGGGGGAAAAAACATGAATTACCATTACCAAGAAGTTAGCTTTTTATTTTTCAATGAGTGTAAAAGTAAAATTTAATCTGTCTGAACTAAGTGGGTTTAAGCTTGACTGCCAAGGTGAGGAAAACAAATCAGTTACTCCAGTTGAGCTTTTCAGACCAATCATGCTTTTATTATTAATATTATCAGATTAATGTCATCATGACAGTAAATTCTAAGAAACACAATTTAATTTAAATGCACTGAAATTCTGGGCCAATAACAACTTTATAAATAGGAAGTGAACCAATAGCTGATGGTGTTGGCATCAGCTATCAGTTATATATCTGTATCAGTTATATATCATGGATAGTCTCCTATTTCAGGTGAAACACGAAGCTTAAATAGATTATGTGTTGTCTTGGTCTGCTTCAGCAATTTTGCGAATTGCCCAATATTTTTGTTTAGGCTTCTTGATATGGCATGGGTCTGTTTAACAATGAACAGTCTTCCAAAATTTACTGTTGCATTGAATTCTTTTAAATAGCCTTGTGTGCAATTTATGTATCGTCTGGCTGGCTTGCTCCTACGCTAACTGTGTGAGCTGTTTGTATTTCCTTCCTCTGACTTTTGTTTCTTTAGACACAACAGTGGGGAGCACCTCTTTCCCACTGCATATCACTCACCTCTTCCCTGACCTCTTTTTCCCTCCTTGTACTCCTTCGCCTATTAGAACAGATTCTTCGTCGTTCGCCTGTCCATTTCCCAGTCCTAATCAACTGTTTCTGTGCTCCCCTCCAGTCACCCTCATCATATCTTCTCTCCTACCTTTTTTCTCCTGTCTAACTCGTCTGTCTCAATGTCTCTCACCTCAGGACGGTATCGGCTACACAGGGTCGACAGAGCCGACAGGTATCAAAGAGCTGGATGACCTCAGTAAGGAAATATCTCATCTGCAGAGGTGAGCCCACTAAACCGTAACTAGCAGTAGGGACAGTTTTGTTTCGCTTCCTGTGAGGAAAAAGTAGACAAGCTTTTAGTAAGGTGATGTTCTAGATCAAAGTTTTTTTTCATACTATTGTACTGTTTGTATACAGGATGCATTGTACTCAACAGCTGTCAACATACTTCTCACTGTGTAACTCTATACGGATTGCTGACAAACATGAAAATGAATTGCAGTAAATGGTTACAGTTGACTACACCTTTGTCTGTTTTTGGACTGTTAAATATATTTGTATTATCACGAGACATTTTTCTAATGTAATTTGGCACCAGGGTTTAATATAATCATTACCCCAAATGGCCCAGAGTATGTTTAATTTAAAAAAACAAAACGAACAAAGACCCCACACAAACAACCTGTTGGGCAACTTGATTAACTGGCTGCTGGCCTTTTCTGGCTATTGACAGCAGTCCAGGAAGTCATGGTCATGAGTTAACATTTGATGTAAATAGTTTTTTCTTGCAGTCAGTATTTTCACCCTATGGCCAAACACTTGTGGTGTAAGAAGGAAGCAACTAAGAGAAAGTGTCAAAGAATAGTGTATAAAGACTGCAGCGCATGGAAGGTGCAATCGTTCCATTAGCATTTACAATTCAAAATAGATTTGTGCATACTGTAAAATACATTTATAAGCCAATAAAAAGTATTAAAAATTCATCTCAAGTAACCTTTTTTTTTTTTTGTAACAGGGCACTTGATAACGCACCAACAGTGACATAGTCATAATGAATGTGCTGCAGAAGGACTATGAGCGAGTTTAGCCTCTTTTTGTTTAGTCTCGTTGCATTAGGGTGGCTTGACAAAACTAGAAAACCACAGTCAGAGATAACAGATATCGCATCACGTTAGCGGTTTCAGCATTCTTTGTTAAACCAGATATTTGGCTGCAGGCTCTGTGCACGTTCACGTAAAATGGGGCAGTTGATGAGTCGCTGGAGATCTGTAGTGTCCGTATAAATAAAATAAAATAAATACCAGTAAAAAGTAACACCGTAGCTGGAAATAACAGATGAAAGTAATTGTTGTGAATTGATTTCCATTTCAAGCACACAGAGTGCATCAGTTCACATTAATACATTTATTTTACTGCTCGGTGCTGATGCCCATTAGACCTCTAAAACGTTGAACTTTTTACATTTAAAACATTAAAGGTTACTAGGTGTGTTAATTTCTGTGACTTTTCCATAGCCTTGTAAAAAAGAAATCAATGTTGGCAGATCATTTTGATTGAATATTTTAATTCTGATTTCTCTTATCCATTATGTTGCCTCCAAATCTAGACAGAAAAATGAAACACTGGGTATAATTTTTGTCATTTGCCTGTCGTTTGTTGGTGAGTGATGTCCATTTTATAACCTCTCTGCCATTGTTTGGCTCGTGTTTTTCATGTGTAGAGACAAATTCATCCTGGAGCATGAGATCAGAGAAAAGGAGGAGGCCCTCAGACAAAAAAACAGTGATGTGCAGGTAAGACTGAATAAAATAAAATAATTTAGTTTGCCTGGTTAAAGTTAAGTTAGTTAATGGTATTCATGAGTAAATTCCAGTCCGTTTTATTCTACAATTTAAAAAGTTGTCAGAAATACTTCAAATCCAGCACAAATTGCATAATTTTGAGGGGAACTGAAGGCTTAATAACTCAGAAAAGATCATGCCTAATAGCTATACTTTCTGCAAACACATGTGCCTCTGTGCGGGTTTTCCTTGACCCTCAGGGCTTGCAGAATAATTTGGAAAGGGAGAGCAGCAGCTTGCAAGACCTGGAGTCCCAGAAGCAGGATGCCCAGGTACGCCTGGAGGAAATGGACCAACAGCGCTCCAGGCTTGAAGGAATGCTCAACGACATCAAGCAGAAGTGCCAGGATGAAACCCAGAAGGTTAGAGATGTGACACACTGAAGTGATGCGCATGTATTTCAGTTGAGAAATGTTATTGGGTTTTGTGTTTGGCTACTGGTGACAGTGGTACACATGCATTTGTGGTTTTACTGTAGTGTAATCTTTTTGGTCTAAGCTGATAATGGTTTGGTGTCAGTGCGATCTCGGATATCAGGCCAGGGGCCCGTTCTTCGTACCTCGCTAAGTAGGTTAGCTGGATTTGATTGTTGACGATTTCACGTGATCCTGGATCGTTCGGTTCCCCGAAGCTCATCCGGGACTTGCTGTCATAGCAACAGAGCCGTAAGCGTAAACCTGCTCGGGAGCAGGCTTACTTTATGTAAACAGGATTAGATCGCGGCCACGCAGGTATGTCCGCTTCATTCATACGAAAGCAACAGCGATATTCCACCACTGTTTCACCATAAATAAATAACATCAATGTAACTAAAGATAATGCAGCACTTGATCCTTTTATTGATTTCACACAGATACATACAGGTCATTTCCTAAAAAAGGGAAATGTACTATTAACATTCTATTACATGTATGTGATTATTACAGATGTAATTCATATTTCAGAGTAGTAATTGTAAATTACTTCGTGTAATCAAGATGAGAGACCACGGCTATAAAAGCGAAGGTGGATTTGGGAAGCCTGTCGCAGTCATGTCCTGTCCGTATAAGCGAGCCACCCATTGCGGAAGGTGCAAGATTGATAAGGAGAGTTTTCAGAATTCAGCGTATATTGTGGGACAGACAGGATCCTTTAGCTCAGCGCGACAGTGTGCTCATAGAGAGATATCGATATTCCCGTGAGGATATTATTTACTTAACCAACTTGTTGACGAGGGGGTGCAGGACCACCACCTGTCTTTTTTTGCTCTGCCCTTTTCTTGGTTGCTGTTATGAACAAACAAACAGATTATTTCAGGGTCTCTTTCCAAGAGACGAAAAGCAATATAAGTGATAAATATTACCATTCTGTAGAATATTCTTATATTTCACTTTTACTTGTTCCCATGTTCTAGTGGGTCCTGTCGTCGCTCTAATGTGAAAGGGGATATAATATAACATAATATAATGTAATATAATATTGGATAATATAGTGTCATATGATAAATCTACCCTACCGCCTACTGGTGTTGGCCAGAGGGGCTGATGGCGCGATATGGCAGCCTGGCTTCTGTCAGTCTGCCCCAGGGCAGCTGTGGCTACAACCGTAGCTGCCTCCACCAGTGTGTGAATGTGAGAGTGACTGAATAGTGGCATTGTAAAGCGCTTTGGGTGCCTTGAAAAGCGCTATATCAATCCACTCCATTATTATTGTTATTATTAAATCACTTACGAGTTTAATTTGTCAGCAACTTTCTGCCAGCCCTCTCTCCTTGCTTTTGCAGCCTTTGCAGTGTTCCCTTGCGTTCTGATTAAACTCTGAAACTCCTGAAATCCCTCACTCAAGAGTTCTTGCTCTGCTGCCGAAAACTACCGAGCCGAGCGCGCTCCTTCGACATTTTCGCCAACCAATCAGAGGGTTGCCGATCAATGTTTCTACTATCGATGCGTAGCCCCTTTTACGACACCCAGTGATCTCACATTACTGCGTCCAGCTATACTAATCGTCAACAGCAGTTTTGTTCGGAGAACCGGATTAGCGAGCTCACGGTTAGCGCGATGATTTGGTCTTGGATGTGTCATTTGGTCTTGGATGTAGTGAGCGACGTACGAAGAACGGGCCCCAGATGTCAAAACATTGGTCATCTGAGGTTAAGATTTGTTTACATGAAAGTGGTGAGAGTTAGTATTTTTAAACACATTCACCACATATACAATAAGGTCTTTGTTTAGAAAGTCAGTGTAACTGCTTTAGAGGCAGCTGTGCATATTTGGCTTTTAGTTTGTTGGTGCAAGATGGATGTGGAAAAAAAAATATGTAAGAAGTGAAGCACTAATTGCATTTAAAAAATTTATAATTGAAATCTACAATTTCTAAATGAACAGCAAGCAGGATGTTGATCCTGCAGATATAAACTCCTTTCTTTTTGTTTGGAAGATTTCATCCCTGCATAGCCAGATCCGCTCACAGGAGACTGACCTCCGCAGTCAGGAAGATGAACTGAGTCGCACCAAAACGGACCTGAATAGAGTCCAAGAGGAGGAGGCACAGCTAGAGCAGAGATTGCTCTCCGGTCGGACTCAGCTGGACAGCATCATTAAGTCACTCAAAACCACCCAGGATGAGATCAGTCAGGTCAGTTCAGAGGGAAAGGCAACAGGTTACTTTAGGATGTTGTGCCACTTCAGACCACCAAGCTCCATAGTAGCATTGTTGGGATTAAAGATCAGGTTGGAAAGTGGGATAAAGGTCTAGATATCCAGTAGTACTAATAATAACACTTATACTAATTTATGCTTATCTACTAGTGAAGTTTCAACTAGTACGTGAAGTTAAATTCAAGTTTGAATTTAACTTGTTTTTATTTTCTTTTGTTTTTTTTAAATAATCATTTTGAAGCAGACGTTTACTCTCTTACCGGTACTCCTACCTTTAAAGGTACAAAACACCTAAACTGCTTACAGGCAGTTCAGTTTAGTGACTTTAATGTCTGGTGCATTCATCAGATTTGAGCACCATGTTTGTTTCTGTTAGCTGAAATAAATCCAGATTACAATCCTGCCTAAAAACGACAGCCAGCATTTCTACCCAAAAATTTGTTAGCCCCAGTTGATACAGATTTGTTATGCTCCCTTTAAGTTGTGGAATTATTGTATTATTTTTTTGTATTTTTCTTTTGAAGTCTGTTTATTTCAGTTGGTGTCTGGAAACCGTTTTCTTATTTCAGTTTAGTTTTTAATATTTAAAAATGTTTCCTTTTACTTTTGATTTTCTTTAGTTTCATTTTCAGTTTTGGCTTTTTCTTTTGTCATGATACGGGGAACGTTTGTCAGGGCCAGAGGAGGTCACAGTATTTATATTGTCATAGTGGAAATTATTGGTTCATAGACAGTGAATGATTTAACCTACCTACCTTTGGACATAAGTGGATAGATATCAGTGTGGTTCTTTAGAAGCATGTTGGTATACTGTAGATTGACATTCTTTGTGCTTTTTAGGCTCGTGGTAAGTTGTCACTGATTCAAGAGAGCCAGAAAGAGTTGACCAAGACCATTGAGCAGTACAACAATGCTTTGAAAGAAATCAACGCAGGAAACTTGAGCAACCTGCCGGACCTAAATGAAGGCTTTGCTGAAAGGGAGGATGGAAGCTTCAGAAGTACGGTGAGGAGACCACAACTACCTATGAAGGATGATTCATTCACAATACAATTTTAGTCTAAATCCAAGAAACTCATTTTTTCTGTTCTCTAATAATCTGGATTCAGATTTTGTTTCCTTTGTCGTTTTGCTCTGGAGATGCTAGAGAAGTGCAAATGTACCCAGACTTGTAACGTGGAAGTTAATTTCTGGATATTTTCCGGGTACATTGGTAAAGGGCTTTACTGATAAGATTGTTGATGATTTGTTGTTTTCTGGATGGTTAATCAGGAGGGCTCTTTAAAGTCAAGGATAGCCATGTTCAACAACAACAGTGCTGCCAAGGAGACTCGAGCAGACCCCTTCAAGATGGAGGATCCCTTCAAATCTGACCTCTTCAAAGGTGTGAATACTTCCTCAAGTCTCCTTATTTACTCCTTTTTCTGTAACGACTGTGGCTCTGTCAGCTGCTGCTTGCATTCAGTTTGTATCCCTTCTAATGAGCTTTTCTTGTTAGAGGATGTAAATGATGGTGGTGTCCTTTTTCTAGATCCATTTGGAAGTGATCCTTTCAAAGAAAGCGACCCTTTCAAAGGCACCTCATCTGAAGACTTTTTTAAGACAACTGACAGGCCAGACTTGTTTGGATCTGGAGACCCCTTTAGCAGAAAACCTGTACCTCCAGTCAAGGTATTGACTCCCCCCCCCCCCCCCCCCCCTCCCCTCCCCAAGTGATACTACTTTGGAGTGTTAATATGGCTCTTTTAGATGCAGTGCGATTATTAGTTCCAAGAAGATTTTCTTTTTTTTTTGTGCTTGTTGCAGATAAATGGAAAAGCAAACCAGAAAGAGATTTGTGGCGTGGTCATAGTGTGTACATTTTAAATGTGTTTGACTGAATTAAATCTCACTCTGTTTGTTTTTGTTTTTTCCCCTTCTTTTGCATTTGTCAGCCAAGTCCTTTTGGCAGCAGTGACTCCTTCAGATCAAACAGCCCAAAAACAAAGGACTCAGGTACAGAAGCAACATGGGAAGTCAAAGCACACTGAAAGAGACTTTAAATCTTAAATTATTAAAACCCAGAATAATTTGTTTGCACATAGCCCCAGAGTTCTTCAGTTTAACATTTTTTCAATTTCACTTTTATTAAAATAGCAACCAGCTCATACCAGCAGTCATCTCAAGAACTGTAACAATCTGATGATCCCCTTTAATTAAGTACTTTGAGAGGCAAAAAAAAAATCTTTTAACTTTAACAGGAAGAGGCCTCATGTAGCTAGTTTGTCGTACATAAGTTGGACAGGTCATATTTAAATATGTTACTCATCCTTCTCCATTCGCTGTTATTGAGACGATGATGTATGATCGTGTTTTCATGCACGAATCCATGCCGATTTCCACGTATAGTCATCCCTGTACTAATAAGAGCAGATTTTCCAAGCCTTTTACTGAAAATATGACTCTAAAAACAGACATCTAAACATGAGAACTCTCTTTAGTTGTGAAACCCATCTTAAAAGAGTCTTTTTGCCCATTCTGGGTGACGTGTTAGATTTAGATTTTATTTTGGGGGGAGCACCAGGGGCAAACAATTTTTACTCACTGTGGCTTCAATTTTTCCTGTGGTTTTGGGCTATTTTTAGTCGAGTACCTACACATTTAACTACTGACCAACTAAAAATACCCCCCACCCCCTGGAAAAACAGGAGGCTAACCGGAGCCAAGCATAACAGAAACTCTGTGACTGCTGGTCCTTCTCTACTAGAATACACTGCCACTCCTTTAACCAGTTCCCTTCTGCCTCTGTCCTGTCTTTATACTTGCTGCTGTTGAACTGCTGTGCCTCTTTTGGTGCGGAAGTTGTTTTAAGTTGGTGGCTGCTGCTGGTTGATGCTCTGCCGTGCTACACGTGTTTAAGATGAACAGAGAGTCGACTGTAGACCTGAGCTGAGTTACTGTGCGCAAAAGAAAAACACCGATCCTGCACATGAACGGGCCTTTTGTGGTCGAACACTCACAACAAACATATTCTCTTACGATGTTTTGTTTTTTCACGGTGAAAAAATGCAGGTTTTTTTTTTTTTCTTCATTAAGTGGCATACTGCTGAGCTTCAAAACAAGCCAGGCATGGTTATAGTTAACAGGACGCCAAATGACGCCCGATGCATACGTCAGGTTAAACAAAACCTCTGCTTTACAGTTTTTTTGTAAAATGTCATGGAAAATTAAACGGTCATGCCACATTGCCTCTTCTGAAAATAGAAAACAGGCCCTTTCAGAATAAGCAAGATGCAGAGAGGATTTTGAATGTGTGGTTTGGGGCTGAACTTCATTATAGTTTCTGGCTCTTTCCATAAATGTATTCAAATGTTCCAAATGCATTTCAATGTACTCTTGTCACAGATTTGTTTGGGAAAGCAGACCCCTTTGGAAGCAACTCTTTTGGAAGCAAGGGGGGTGGATTTGCTGACTTTAGTCAGATGTCAAAGGTAAGCTCTGGAGACTTGAAGTTATGAATCAGTTGCACCATAAAGCATAGTTTTCCACTAAAGCTGAAGAAAGCCGTGCTGTTAATTTAACTTTCATCGTGACTGAGGTCTTGTTTTTTTTTTTTTGTTTTTTTTTCCTTCCAATTTATCACATTTCTGAAAAGGGTCTACCTTGTATAAGTCCAGAGGCTTTACATCTTAGCTGACATTTCTGTTGGGGTCATCGTTTTGTATACAGCTAATGGTTTTTCTTTTCTTTTTGTCTTGTGTCTGAGAAGAAGTCGGACAATCCTGTACTCCCAATCCCAAAGAAAAGTGTGCCTAAGAGGCCTGCACCTCCCTATGGTAAGCATAGAGTTTATTCAAATGTATATCTATATAAAATACCATAAAACGTGTTTTTGATGAACTTGACTGCGCATGTGCAGGCATGGTGTTCATAACTAGGAAATAGAAATGGGTCAGATCTGCTAAACAGATCACACTTTTTTTTTTTTTTAATATGCCAGTGATGATGGTACATTCTCTTTACTCATATGTAACTCAAAATAAAAGCATAAGAACTTTTGGGGGTTTTCACGGCGAGTAACCGTCCTGTGAAATAAGGATTTGATGCTTAATGGTGGTGGAAAAAAAAAAAAAAAAAAAAAAGAAAAAAAACAACTTCCCTACTGAGGTGCTAGGGTGCTGAGAACATAATTTCTTCTTTTGATTTGGTAAACAGGAAAGCTGCTGGCAGAGATACGAGTCCTTTAAATGATAATGCTGTTATTAAGACTCTGCCGCAGTGATGTGTTAAGATATTCTTGTGTACAGGATGAGGAGCCTTGAGAACAACTTTCTCATCCTTTTTTTTTTTTAGTGGTTTTGTTCGTGTTGTTTTTTTTATGCACATGTGAATTCACACATTACCTAGAAGCCATGCCCAGTACATGCCCTTCCGCTGTGACCTTGCACTTATTCTTGTAGCAGAAGCATCAGCCTGGGAAAGTTAGTGTTCCCCTTTACCGCACAGAAAAGGGTAGAGATGAGTAGAGACGTGCTTCAAGGGTGATGGGGAAGTGAGAAGTCCACTCTCACAAACCGTGGGCACTGTTGACTTTCTGTATTACAAGGACAGTTGCTCAACAGTTAGAACTTTTAATATATTTTTTTATTTGATTGGATTTATTCTTTTGCAGCTGTGTTGCAGCAGCATTTGTAAACAACTCTAATAATACTTGTTTTTCTTTTTGTTTTGTTTTTTCTTAATCAATTCTTTTTAATTTGACAAATCAAAGAATTAGTTTTTCGGAAAATTGAGCCCTTGAATTTGCAGGAGCAGCCTGTGCTGCATTGGTGCACAAAGTCCGTGAGATAAACAACATTCTCACTTATTAATAGTACCATCATTATAAGAAATGTGTGCTTACTGTACACAAGGGTGTGTCCATCTTTTACAATTGCAAGTTCCAAAAAAGCAACCGTGTGCATGTTTAAGCTTCACTGCATCAGTGAGCTGTACTGAAAAAGGTGTTAACCACATTTTTTGAATCAATGTGGCTTTCCCCTGGGTAACTACTCTGCTTGCATGAAGCTGTTGGCTTCCTGTGAATATTTAGTGGCAAAGTATTATGCGTTAGCCTTTAAAGTGTGAGTTCAATTTCCCAAGGGGGGTATCGGTGAGAAATATCTCTAATGAAGATGCTAACAGCAGCATTTTCTGTCATGTTGGGTTTTTTTATATATATTATCTTATTTAAATGTCCTTCCTTCTCTGATAGGTTTGAGTCCATCAGAGCTGCTCCAGAGCGTTGGCTCCACAGCAGACGGTGCAGACTCTTTCTTTACGACACAGTCGAGTAAAACATCCAAAGATTATCCTATGGGTTTTGCAAATTTTGCATCTGTAAGTGTAGTGTACTTGCTGTAGAGTATATTTGCCTGCACAAGCTGCTGATCTCATCTCGATCTTTAGATTGCTGTGTTCAAGCCACAGAGGTGTCAGCTCTGTGTCATTGGGCCTCATTCTGTTAACGCCCCAAAAGCAGTGTGTTCAGAAGGCACTCAAAGAACTTTTGTGTTTACTGGCTGTTAACTAACAACTGACAGAACATGTGAGAGCTTTTCAACTGCTTGGTTTAGAAGGAAAGTAAATGATTGCATGACTGAGTTGGACAGTCCCTCTGCTAGTCTCTGTCGAGTTATAGATTGGCTCTGTGCACCTGGTAAAGGGGCTTGCATGCTTGCTGTCATCTTTGCCTTTTCCTTTGAGAGGAAGCGAGGATTTATAAACTCATAGTTGGCGAGTTCATGAACTTGCCTGGTCAGGTATCACTTGAGGAGCATTTTTCAAGTCTCGAAGTGCAAGCTAAAGGCTTATTCGCTGTCAAAGCATGATATGCCTCAAAGCAGAGAACAACAGAGTAAATCTCCCTCTTTATGTCCCACCTTCCGCTTATTTGCCATCTTGTATAGCCTAACGGCTGACTGTGCTCTCATGTGGAGAGGTGATGCATGGCAGCTTTTTGTGTCTGGTTTGTATCACTTGACATGATATGTATTTATTTTATCCCTCATGCCAGCATGACTGTTGTGAAAGGGATTTGTGGTTTTTATATCGAGCTCTGTGTTGTAATTTTTGTTTTTCTGCCAGGATCTGAACATGTTAAGGTAAGACTGTATAAAGGTGTGCTTTTCGATTCTTTGCATGTGAAAAACCTGTCGGCAATGCATAATCTAAGTAAAGTGATTCTCGAGCATAATTATTTTCCTGCATTCCTGCATCCAAACACAGAATTTGGGAAATGTGACCATTGATTTGTTGTAGTGGAGCAGCACCTTCTTTGCTGTCTTGTGTGACGTAAAAGTGAAATCTAATTGTCTTTAATTTGCATTCAATTTTTGATCAGTATTTTTCTATGTATCAGATCATTTAGCTAAATAATGCAGTTTTTTGAGAATCAGCCCAACTAGAAACGCTTGATTTTTATTTATTTATTTTAAATTTTTTGCATATTTCTTCCTGTGTTTTGTCTGTTGTGTCTTATACGACTACATTCCTGCTTTTTATTGCGCACATCTAATGTTTGTGTCTCTGCTCCAGTTTGGAAGTGAGAGCGAGCAGCTGGAGTGGGCCAAGCGTGAGAGCGAGCATGAGGAACGGGAGAGGTTGAGGAGGCTGCAGCTCCAGGAGCAGAAGGACCTGGAGCTGGCCATCGCTCTCAGCAAGACCACCATGCCGAACACCTGAGCAGGCGTGCTCCAGCACAACTTTCTGTCCCCTTCACTTTTCCTTACAGCCCGCCATCTACAGGCTCGTGACAACAGTACCATCATTGGCCCGACATGACTAGCACCCCCTGTTACCAACTTGTGCAAGAGCCCAGTGTTTCTGCAGCTATGACTGTACTTGTGTTCAAATGACTCCACATTTAGCTACTAGTTAAGGTTCATTGCTCCCAAACTATGTGGAAACTATAATCAGGGACAATATGGAGGCACTTGATTTAAGCCTTGCTTCATCCTCCAAGAACATGGATTTAACGCAAGCCAAACCGGCAGGGTACTCGACTACTACAACCTATATCTAACTCCATATCTGGTTATGGCTAATCAGCCTTACCTTATCCAAATTTGTGGGGGCTTTTTTGAAGGTAAAATAACATTTTAAAAATATTTTTGTTTTATTTAGAAACGAAAGCAGCTAATTTGTCATGTATGAAGTGAGATACATCCTAAAACTGTTTTTATATCGCTCAGAAAAATCACAATGAAAGTCGAAACATTTGCTCTGCTGACATTCAATTGACTTTTTTCAAATTTATTTTGTTTTGTTTTTATTTTGTTTTATTTCATTTTTTAGGAAACCTCTTCTTTTAGTGTATATAGTTATACGGTTTTATTTTGAGCTCAACCAAATAAAAGACAGGGGGGAAAAAACTCCATTCCTGTCTTAAACAAGTTATGAGATCATCAGTAGCATGATTTAATTCTCATTTTAAATGCTACTGGTGTTTCTGGGCATTTATGCTTTCATAGCTAATATTTATATAAGTAAAGTGCATGAATTAAAAGAGTACTGGAATATATTGGAAATCCTAAAGATGCTAATGATACTCATTACGGTCTTCCTTTCCTGTGAACCCAGCTCTGTCCACTTGGAGCGCTCTTCCTCTGCGAACAGCTTGTTTGTCAGATAGATCATCATTGGTTGCATTGTTGTAACACCCAAATAGCTCCCTGCAACTAATGCCTCTATTAAATGGAGGAAGTGTAAACCTCTCTTGTTTATACTGGTGCTGTTACACCTTTTTACTACTTCTGCTATTCAGCCAAATCGACCTTTTGGATATTTATTATTTTTCATATGGATTTGTGTTATCACTGTCTAGTAATCTAGTGGGAGGACTTTTCTGCAAATGGCCTGAATTATTGCATCCTTGTAATCATACAAAACACTAATCAGGTTTATGTGGCACATAATGTATGCACTGTTATGTGGACATGCACAGAGTGACGGCGCCTTATTTTTCAACACGTTAACACTGTAATGTGTTATTGCTGCACATTATGTATATAATTTTGAGGTAAAGGTTTGAGTTGCTCAAAACTGTAAGGACTTTTAATTGAATAAAAGTGATTTTTAACACCAAGCACAGAGAGAGGTAGGTCTGATTTCTTAAATATTTCCACAACAGCATAAAAAGAAGTGAGTCAGGTGTAATTGCAAAATTAATGTTTCAGTGGTAAACAGAGAATGAATATACAGCAAGTGGCCTTGAGAAACCGGTGCTGAGCATTGCATAGACTTGTTATCTTGTTATGAAGGGGGGGGGGGGGGGGGTAGTTTAATTGTTCTTGTGATGCTTCTTTCTAAATCTAGTTCTTGAAGTAAAACTAGAGTGACTCGAACATTGATTGTTTTTATGTCTTAGAAGTCTGGTTTGATATTGGAACACAAAAAAGTGAAATGAGAACGACATATTTGCATGTACTGGGTAGATATTTTTGGCCCAGTGTGTGCTTCCTCTTTTTTCGTTTTAAAATATGATAAATTTCAGTGTGTTGATAAACGCATTTGAACTCTCTTTGCATTTGCGTTTTATTGCTGCAGGTGAATTTACTATACAAAGTAACTGAGTTACACTGATTCAATTAAAACTGTTTTATTAAGTTTTTTAAAAGACTACGCTTTTTAGAAAATGCCATCTGGCTTTTATATATGCACTCAATGCACTCTTTGATGCGGGCAAAACGACTGCTCACTGACACTATGCAGCCATAATGTGCACGGACTTGGATACTTTGAAACTGTAGTGCAGAGTGACTGTGTGTAATTGTAGTATTAAGGCTCTTTGATGTCCTACTATAATTTCTACCCATCAGAAAGGGAGTCTAAGGGCTCCCTGATGAGGGTTTGCTGTGCCCCTGTGTCCAGACGGCTCCTGGCTCTCTCTGTAATTATGGAAATGGAGTGTTTGTATTTATAGGCTAAGCCCACAAGCGGCTGCCCTTCTCTGTCTTGCAGCTGCAAAACATCACAGTGGAAATCAAGTGCTCGTGTTTTAAAATTCAATGTACAATTTAGAAGAACTGATGTGACAGTCCGCAGGTCTACTGCACCTTTTTACAAGCAGTTATGAGTTATGTTGAGTGGCTGGATGTATCCAATAAAAAAGAAATGTGTGAACAAGTGTAAGGAATGAGTAAGCACGCAAGCGAAGTAAAGACTTCTCAAGCCAAACAATTCAGTTCCATTTTTTTTAATATTTACAATAAATACATGATTTACAGTATAAAATCCAGGTACTTTTTTTTTTAATATAAATTTAAGTAAAAAATAAAGCACAGGACATCAAGCCCTGATAGTGTACAGAGGGGCTGGAACCAAGAGTTTCACACTGAGATGGACAAAAAGCATTTAAAAAAACAAAAAACAGTATAGGCCATTCAGACATTGAGGCAGTTTAAATAAAACATTGTCTTTTGTCTTTGCACATATTAGGCAACTGTATGTGCATTGCATTCCTATCAGCGAGAACATGTACTGCTTTTTTGGCCATGTCTTCTTTCACAAAGAGGTTTTTTTTTTTTTTTTTTGTTTTTTTATACAGTAGCACAACACAGAAAGGCACTTTTGTGTCAAACACAGCATTCCAGTTCTGTCAAAGGAGAGTAGTATATACAGGGCCAGCCCCTTCTTGGTCTGCCTGCTCTAAAGCAAACAAAGCTTTTCTAAAGCTTAAACAACCAAAGTAGTACCAGCTACGTTATTAAACAATAACACTAAACATTTTTTGAATTCAATATCATAATATGCGTCTTTGGTCATGTGAGGAATATTTTAAATAAAAAATACAGTTGAAATCGTAATAATAATAACCCCCCCCCAATCGCCCCGAGTCCTTATGTGGGTTACTTCACATGTGTCTCTTCATATGAAGGGCCAGGTGGTCAGACCTTGAAAAGGCGCGCTCACACAGGTGGCACTGGAAGGGTCTGTGTCCGGTGTGTTTGCGGAAATGACGGGTAAGCTCGTCGGAGCGGGCGAATTTCCATCCACAGCCTTCCCAGCTGCAGTGGTACGGCTTCTCACCTGCGTGAACAAAATTTGAAAAAAAAGTTTATTAGGCTGTGCTGAAACGGCATTTTGTTTTAATCAATGCGCTGCTCTGTGCGTAACTGCGCACTTAAAAAAGATCATAGCATACTTCAGCTCAAACTTACCGGTGTGAGTGCGGAGATGTGCCTTCAGGTGCGAGCTCTTTGTGTAGGTTTTTCCGCAGCCTGCAAACGTGCAGGTATGCGTGGCTGTGCGCTTCCGTGGCCACGTGCGCCTGCCTCTTTTGGGTTTGGACTCCAGCAGTTCGAGGGGAGATGAGGGTGGAGTAAGCATCACCCTCTGTGCGCCCGGCTGCAGGCTGAGAGCTTCATCATACATGCCAAAACCAGCATGTGGAGCGTGGTAGGCCATCTGCATCTGTGGAGCCTGAGGGTGGTGCTGGAAAGCCACAGTTGTGTGATATTTCTGCTGAAAGTTCATGGGCTGGCATAACTGTCCCTGACAGTCCGAAACTCCCTGGTCATTGGGACTCAGCGGCGGGGTCATGTTGCTGGCCGCTCGGGGAGAGATGGCCACTCTTGGCTGCTCAAAGGACATCATGCACGAAACGTTGCCTTCTTGCTTGATTTTGCTGCAGCTCTGGGGCACCATGCCCATTACGGGACCATAACTGTCCATTGGTGGCTCTACTTTGATGTTCTCCGGGCGGGGGAAATGCGCCGTGCTGGCATAAAATCTTCCCTGAATGCTGGGGTTGCGCGTAATGCCATAGCTGTCTGTTCCTTCGGAGCGGAGTTGTTCTGTCATGAGGCTGGCGCCGTACGGGGGCGGTGGGGAGCGATGGTCGTCTGCTGGGAACGATGGCATAGAGTTTCCAGTCGTGTACATGTTGGGGTCGGCGGTGCCCAGATAGTCCATCGCGCTGTCTGAGCCAGTTGTATTGGCGAGAATAAAATCCAGATCCAAATAGTTACTCAGATCCTCGTCTTCCTTTTTGTTTTGATTGTCCAGGTTTTGTACCATTTCAAGCATGGACCAGCTCGAAGAGACCAGTTTGTCCATCTCTCCCTTCCATCTCTGTAGGAATGAGGAGAAAAAAGCAGATGAGAAACAAGCGACTGCAAAGTTTTTTTTAGAACCAAAATATATATTTTTTCGAAGCAAATAAATTATTCTTACATGATATTTATATTATTACAAGCAGAATCAAAATCACGGATATTTAAAAAAACAAACACACACAAAACACATACACACAATTGCGTGACATTGTTTCAAACTTACATTTTCCCAGGGTTTTTCTCTTTGGTTTGAGAAAGTCGAAAATGACGGTAGCATCACTCCGGATAAGGCCATCGTTGGGTAAAGTAATATAAGTTTCTCTTGTCAAAATCGTGCTGTGTTGAGCGGCAGCCGCGCAGGGGTCTGTGCGCCTATTTCACTGTCGCTTCTCCACAGTTTCACATCAAATACATGAACAAGTTTAAAAGTGGTAGGAGGTCCTCCGAACCTTATAACTCTATTCCGAGCGCGCCTGGCCAATTGTGAGAGCTCAGGAAACAACGTAAAGTTTGGTAAATTTAGCGCTTTATAAAGCAGCTCGTGCAGACTCACAGCTCACTTGTGTGTGACAGGCAGAGCGGCTCGCACCAAGCCTCTTTGAAAAGGGCGGGCCCTAGCTCGGCCCCTCCCACATTGTGACGCAAGATATTTGAAGTTTGTTTTTTTAAATGATAAACACACTGTATAGCAACCATATATACTTACGTAATAATCTAAAAAGAACAAGTACAGTGACAGAAACTGCTGGAGGCAAAGCCGCACCAGCAACTTAAAAATAAAGGCTGTCAGTACTCGAGTTAATCACCAGGACACAAAGGAGATGTGGCTTTTCTGATGAACAGTAATAAAAATATCATTAGATTGGGATTAGCGGGTTCAGCTCTGGAAAGAAACTGAAAGATTTGCCACGAAATAAAAAATATATGTATATATGTGGCATACATTATTAATTATTATATATTTATTATTTTCTGATCTCGATGCCTCTCTAAGCCTCTTTTTCTTTCACACTTCCTCACGCACTGGTCCAAGAGCCTCCATTAAAGGGGTTTCTATTTAAATAAACACGTTTTTGTTAAACTTATAAGAGCTCAGTAAAGATACGCGCAGTGTAGGTGTCTGTGCCGGCTCATTATCATTAATGGTAGATGCTTTTTGTTCTCTCACAACGGGCCTGTCTAAACAGGCGCCAGGGTCGTCTGAAACCCCCCCCCCCCCCCCCTTTTTTTTTTTTTTGAGGGGGGTATTATTACGCTTTAACCATTCCTGATATAAACGTAATTTAAGCTAACGTCCCGTTCACATGTAAATGACATAATTGGGGCTACTGGTTTCGATTGGGTTCACATTTGCATCACAAATCAGCGTTAGTGTTTGTTGCTACTTCGACCGAGAGATTTGAGGAAAGGGGGATTGTTTTCTGGAGGAATCCGAGGAAGTCGCCTGGCTCCAGAGGTCATGAAGACAGGCTTTCTGCAGGGTACGACTCCGCACTTTTTTGTGCCACTTTTTCCCAAAGTGTGATGGAATTAGAAAGATTGGTGCCTAAACTTTATTCCTTGGATCCAATTCAACATAGAATAGTGCAATGAAAGAAGAGATTGTTTTAAGAAGCACGTGTTTTATTAAATGTCACACTGAAGCACGATTAGTGGAGGCAATTGGGGATGAGTAATGATTTAGATTACCTGTAAGCAGCCATTTATCTGCACGTGAAGCTGATGTTAAGCTAGTTTTTTTGTAAGTTTAATGTAGACTTGTTATTTCAGAAGGAATGCTTCCCTCTAAAATGCAGCACAGAATAAGTCAAAAGAAACCTATGCAACTCCAAGATAGGAACCTGAAGTACACACTATATTTTAGGTACTCTCCAACTGTACTTTATGTAGGATTTAACCTGAAACCCCAAGAGAGACACACACCTTATCCTCAACCTCAGCAGGTTAAAAAAGCGCAAAAGTACTCAGTGTGCCAATGACCTGATCCAAGTCAGCTTCTAATGACAGATACACCACCTCTCATCAAGCTGTC